TGGCAACAAGTGATGAACATTTTCTAAAAGTTAAGACAATAATTATTAATAACATTTTATGACAACAATATTGAAAACGTCAAGTTATATTTTTGTTGGGGGGAGGGGGCTGTTTTACGCTTCTGGTACTCCATTTCTGAAAAAGTGAAGTTACCTTTCACGTCGATGTGGGTGTCTGCAGATTGTACATCTTGGCATTTGGCGTAAAACTTCACCCTTCCTGGCCGTTCGCACTTCACAGTCACTTTCCACATGCCATCTGGTTTACTCTTTATGCAGCCCGGGTCGGTAAAGGGTTCATCATCTTTGAAGAACTTTACCAGAAGTTTGTTGTCGGACACTTTGTATCTGAGCTTTATTTTTTTATCGACAATCGCAGGAATTGTTTCGCCTGGCTGGTTAACGAAGGTTGGTTCTAAATAAACAAAGTCAGTGGTTTTAATTAGATGTTGTATACTTTGGTCGAAACAAAAATCCTGTGAGTTTGTGATGGACTTGACAACGTTAGTGGTTGTTGAAATTTATGGAAAAGTGTAAAAGCACATCGTGGTGTTTTGCAACTACATTGCATTACCATATTTTCCTACTCATATTATTCTTTCGCATGATAAAACGCCCATATACTAAACTATACTGGTGTGTTAATGAAGCTTCAATCCTTTAACAACACATCACTATGTGCTTATAAATCGGACATGACTTTACTACAGTCCTGATTTTTATATATCTTATTCCTGTACCTCTAGGGAATCCCCCCCCCCCCAAAAAAAAAAGGACAATAAATTAAAAAGATATATACAAAATTCAAATGAAAAATAATATTAATATTAACAAACAAAAATTACAAAATTCTAAATACCCGACTTAATCACGGTGAGATTGGATGTTGGTTCAGAGGTGCCGCATACCACTTTGTACTCCCCAGCATCACTTAACGTGACATTGGCTATATGAAGTTTTTGTTCATTTTGTCCCACTTTCTTAACGAGGCAAGGTTTGATCTCCCTTCCGTTCTTCTGCCACTGAACGTTAGTGCCAAGTAGCGGCTGTCTTGAGGACAACAAAAGTGTAAACTGCTTCCCCTCCACAACTGTTGCTGATGATGGCTCTAGCGTTGTCTTTTCTACAGCAAAAAAATTATCATGTTATAATAATCTCTTTGCCATCGTCACATTGCATTCTGGGTATGGACAACAAACATTGCATAAAAGTGCAAGCACCCAAAGGGCAAAGAACAGGTCCCAACATTTCACAGTTTCTGCTCTTGTAATATTGAAAGATTCAGTAGTCTTTTTTTCCTCACTTATCATTCTGTTAGTAATTCTACTTTTCAATCAAATTACTTTGAAGATGTTCTTGCTGACGTATTGCTCATATATACAGGGTGAGTCAAAAAGAAAGTGACCCGGATTAAACCCTTTTTCACTCATTTGAAAAAGAAAAAAAGAATTACTGAAATTTATCCATCGATCAGAAGTGGGCCTACAGGATGTTTTGCTAAAAGAAAACATGTTTATCTTTGTCCATGGAATACAATTGGAATTTAGAACACAGCGAGAATTACAGATTACACACAAGCATTCCAATTAAAATTTTATTAATTGATATCAAGATTGAAAGATAATTTTCACTGACAGATTTTGTGTTTTGAATATGAGGAACAAGTTAACTCTCCCCCCCCCCCCCGAAATATTGATGGCGATGTTTGTATGATTTCCTTTGGAAGTTCTCGTTCATTCGTGGAGGTGGGAAAACGTCCATGTGCCATTGTACTCAATGGGTATTCATAATCCTAGAATGGTAAAGGATAAGTAAGTGATGGTTAGCCGAGTTTGTGATCTTTTTATTGAAATAGACATAACTTGGGAAAGGAGTATGGAAATTACGTGAAATGTTCACAGTTAAATGACAATTAGATGTACTTTATCCCTATGATTTTTAAAATAAATTGGAGCTAGCCAAATGTTTTAAAAATATTTTCAAATTTTGTCACTTTCTTTTTGACTCACCCTGTACATGTACGTGTATAGGCAATCAAAATGATTATAATCATATATGCATTCAAATTGAAAGCACCTCTGATTGGTTGTCTCTTGGCCCAATGAACAGGGTAATGATTAGAAAGTGCTGTGACACCTTTGGTATGCACCACGTTAATATATATTTGGGACCGTCTCAATACATATCCGGGATGAGTTCCAGACAAGTTTCGAGTAGAAACATTCACTTTGTCCAGAAGATGTACTGCATTTGTCCTGACATGTTCCGGGGAAGCTTTCATTAGCAACTGCTTGACTCACCAATACTTATAACTACACTGCAGGAAGATTGAGGAGAAGTTGTTCAGAATCCCGCAGCTTACACCCGATACAATGTCCGCAACTTGTCCGGAACTCATCCCAGATATAAATCGAACCGGGCCCTTAATGAGTTGCATTAGTGACTTTAACGTTTTGTTGCCGTTCCTTATCCGTCCTTCATATGCAATGGGAATTCTTGTTGATAGCTTTCACAGATAAAACATGTTTCCAAATAAGTGCAAAAAGCACTGCAGAAAATGTAAACAAAATCCACAGCACACGGAAATAGAGTCTGAACGTTTACCACCAGTGGTGCGCTTACGGGCCCCTTGAATAGATAAAATTAACGTGCAAAATGTCTTTATTTCATTGATTTATTAAGAAAATCACCCTCGAAATATGCCTTTGTAAAATTGTTAGTAGCATCTTAATTTATGGACACTGAAAAATCGCTTGACGTGAAAGAGAAATATTGCGCCAAAAATCGACCTCACTTCACGACCTGTACGAGTGGTCTAATGGAACTCGGTGTACTCGTACAAGGATGAAAATGTATATTATAGTTTTGTGGCAGCCATTGGGTGATAACTGAAACTTAAGAGACTGAAACATCTTTTAGAATAATACGATTTAAGAAAAACTCATTAGCATTTACAAAACAAAATCTAAGATGACCGCCGATAAGGACTTCATTCAAGCCAGCTCGACTTAATCTAGAACCATCGGCTGTCGGTAGGTAAATCTTCGTGTCGTTCTACATTTTCGGTCTCACGCACGTACGCGATGTGAAAACAAACATGAACGAACAAGGAGATCTAGGAATGAAAAACGCCTGATGTAAAGGTGGTGAGGAAAATTCGTTTTACCCATCTCCTAGTTATTTGTCACCACTTTTTTTCTTGTATTATACCGAGATAAAATTCCAACATGAATATTTCTTGGGGTGATTGCAGTTAGAAATCATTTTGTCAAAAGTAATAGCAAGAAAAAAGGTCAACCCAGTGTAAAATGCCCACAGACGGGCCAACCGAGGGGCCCGTGAGCTCGCTGCGTGACCTTTTAGTTTCAGGCTCCATAGGTACTTACCTAATAGGGGTGCATTTGGCGCTTGATCTGCATGTGCTAAGATATGGAAAAAGTAAGAACAGAAATGAATGGGCATTCATAAAATGTTTTAATTAATTTAGTTAAATGCCTTCGATTAATTACATTCGGATAATGGTATTAAGGGTCTTCGGCGGGGGGGGGGGGGGGGGGAACGATTAATGGAGTTCCCCCATCAAAATTGCTACGCCATGACTGATTTACTTGAATGTTGGCAGGAATGTCCTACATCCACAGAACTGCTAATTATGATCAGCAAAAACATCCAAAATGGATCAAAATCTGTACTCAAACGGTTTTGTGGTAACGAAGTTGTAACAACATCGTAACGAAGTCGTAAAAAAAATCGCAATAGTCGGTACGAGATAGGCAGTGGTCGTGCATGGTCGGCAAAATTCTTTTAGCCGACTTGGATACGACCATTACGACGGGAAATTCCGAAGATGGTGTCATCCTGTCGTTTGTGCATTGGTTCTCGGTCTTTTGGTTGTGTCGGTACTCTGTCCGTACTCTGTCGGCAATGTCGAAATGAGATCGGGACTCAGTCGTAAAAAAAAATCAATTGAGCGGATCCAAGTCGTAGCGAAATCGAAGCAGTCGCAATATTCGGTTCGAGGTCATTTCAGAGTCGTAGTATTTGGGACGACATCGCAGATATTTGAATTAGGCGCCACATTTCCTATGTATTTAGTACAATTTTCAGGGGAAAAATATTTAAATGTCATGGTTTAGGTGGGGTCTTGGTCGTTGGTCTTGGATGTTTAACAGGGGCTTAACTTTGTAATGCAGCACTTTGTACTGCAGCATAAAGAGTCAAAATAATTATCTGGTGCAAGCCATGATAAATCTTGTATTTTCCAGTCATGCCATAACAGTTTGTATACTGGTCCTTTATTTCCAAATGTATTCAATAGAAGTGTGGCAATGTAATAGTCGAGTCATTTTCCAAGTCTCCAAGTAGTCTAAAATGTAAGGTTATGAACATGGTGCAGGAAGATTTGATCGATGATGCGTTGTATCAATTTCGAAGGCCCGGCCCAGTCGGAGGGACACAACGCATCCATGCACTGGTATTACACAAAGTACACACGATGTATTTTTTCGGAGTGAGCTTAATTCCAAATAGTCTTTGTGTCAGTATAATCATGCATGGAGTCCAGAAAGTAGGAATCAAGGCTATAACCACCAAGACTGAGTACATTAAATAAGTTAGAGTATGAGTATTTGGATTAAAAAAAAGCTGACATGGGTATGCATGCACTCTATTATTTCCCCCGAAACATACTGGACTCAGACTCAAATCGGTTACGTCTCGATAGTCCGAAGTCCCATTGGTCCGAAGTCCCATTGGTCCGAAGTCCCATTGGTCCGAAGTCCCATTGGTCCGAAGTCCCATTGGTCCGAAGTCCCATTGGTCCGAAACATAATACTGTGTATTTCCACTTGTTCAGGTTGACTGACCCTAACCCTAACCCTCACCCTATGGGCTGTCGGACCAATGGGACTTCCGACCAATGGGACTTCCGACCAATGGAACTTCGGACCAATGGGACGTCGGACCAATGGGACGTTTACACCAATGGAATGTATAGAGCAATGGGCCGTTGGACCAATGGGACTTCGGACCAATGGGAGGAGAAGACAGCCTCTACGCGGCCTCTTCTACTAGTAGCTGTTTCAGTGAAACTAATGTCTTCACCCCGCTCCCAGCAACCTCAACATCCGAGGCAGCACGCATCCTTTTCAGGACGGGCGGACCTATCCATCGAAAGCCTCCAAATCCTGCAACTCAACATCGAAGGGCTCACCATCGCCAAGCTCGACGTCTTTGAACAGATTACCACCAAGAACAAGGCAACTGTCGTCCTACTCCAGGAAACACACAAGAAGAACGATGCCATCCTTAAGCTCCCCGGTTTACGCTAGCTGGCCACACCAAGAGCAAACATCACGGCCTGGCAACATTTGTCCAAGATGGCGCGTCCTGGTCACCGGCAGGCCAATGCGCAGATGATGATGCTGAAACCGAGTGGATCGCCACCAAGGTGCAGGAGACCACTGTGGTGAACGTCTACAAGCCACCACCGAGCCGACTAGATCAAGGCTCACTGCCAGACGTCCCTGCCCCAGCCCTGTATGCCGGCGATTTTAACAGCTGGCAGACCGACTGGGGGTATAAGACAATCAACAAAGACGGCGAGTTTCTGGCAGATTGGGTCCTCCTCAGCCGACGCAGTGCTCCTCTTCGACCCGAAGGAGCCCCACTCGTTCATCTCCGGACGCTGGAACACCAAGTCCAACCCAGACCTGGCCTTCGGCAAAGTTTCCGGGCAAGAACCACTGCCACATCGGCGCATCTTGGAGTGATTCCCTCGCACACAACATCACCCATCACTAATCACAACACCATCACTGATCCAGTCGACGGAGGGAAAACCAGTCCGGAGGTGGAACTTCCGCAAGGCGAACTGGGCAAACTTCGCACGAGATGTCAACACCGCTGCCGAAGCCCTGCCAGTGCCTACCGCCACCAACATCGACTTCGCATACGAGGCCTACCGCAAGGTGCTCCAAGACGCCGCCAAAAAATACGTCCCGTGGGGAGCCAGAAAGAACTACATCCCCTGCTGGGACGAAGAATGTGAAGACCTCCTGCGCGCTCACAATTAAGCCAAGAGCAACGTTGAGAGGGCCACAGCCGCCACAGATCTCCTTAACCGGCTGAAAACCAAACGGAGAGAGAGGTGGACAGAGACCGTCGAGTCAATCGACTCTACCCACTCCAGCCGACGAGCGTGGCAGACCATCAACAAGCTGACTGGCCAGGGAACCAAACCAAAACCATGCCCCATCACTGTAGACGCCATCGCAGCACAGCTCATCAGCAATGGCAGGTTCCCCAACGCAGACAAGGCCTTCACCAGGAAGATTACCGGCGAGGTGAATGACCTACGGAGGGCCCCGTGCGCCGACCGCAACCTCTCGGGAGACTTCACCAACGACAAGATTGTGTCAGCTTTGAAACATCTGAAGCCAAACAAAGCAGCCGGGATCGACAACATCCACCCAGAGTTCATTCTACATCAGGGCAGCCAAGCCACTGAGCGGCTAAGATCCTTCTGCTCTGTCTGCTACCGCTCCTCCAAGCTCCCGAAGATCTGGTGCCGCGCAAAGGTCATTGCCCTCCCGAAGCCAAGCAAGCCGATGGATGACCCAAAGGGATACTGGCCCATTGCCCTTCTGTGCGTGCCGTACAAGATCATGGAATGCCTCCTGCATGCACGCCTCAATCCGGTGATCGACCCAATACTGCCATTAAGGAGCAAGCCGGTTTCCGCCGCAGGAAGTCCACGGTAGACCAGGTGACCCTTCTCACTCGGGATATCAAGGACACATTCCAGAAAGGTGAGAAGGCGGGCGTCGTCCTCCTCAATCTAAGGGCGGCGTACGACACAGTCTGGCTCCGCGGACTCCATCTTAAGCTCCTACAGACGATTCCGGACCGACACATGGTGGGCTTCATCATGGAGATGCTGAGCAACCGCAGCTTCACCCTCCACACCAGCGATGGCCAACACAGCAGGCTGAGAAGACTCAAGAATGGCATCCCCCAAGGCTCGGTACTAGCCCCGATGTTGTTTAATATCTACATCCACGACCTCCCAGACACCCTGATGAGCAAGTATGGATATGTAGACAACCTTACCATCATGTTCGCCGACAAGGGCTGGGAGACAATCGAATCGGGGCTCATGGCCGACATGGACACCTTGTCCACGTATTTGTCGAACTGGCACTTGAAGCTCTCTGTGGCCAAAACCATGTCCTCCGCATTCCATCTCAACAACAGAGAGGCAAGCCGCGAGCTCAACATCATCGTCAACAACAACAGACTCCAGTTCCAAGCCACTCCGACATACCTAGGGGTCAAGCTCGATCGCACGTACCCTGACGTACCGCCAACACCTAGGAAATGTGTCAGCAAAGACATCAGCCCGCGTTGCCCTCATAAGACGGCTAGCTGGCACTGCGCATCTCCACCCAAGCGCTGGTCTTCTCCGCTGCCGAGTATTGTGCCCCAGTCTGGTGTAGGAGCACCCACACCAAGAAGCTGGACATTACACTCAACAACGTCCTGCGCAACGCCCCCCAACAACGCCCCCCTCCCCCCAATCACCAAAAACCATATTGCAAAAATGTATATATGTGTGTTTTTTCTTGTGTGCCCCACTAGTTTGTATTGCTGCCCCCCCCCCCCCCTAATGCCTGGATGCCTGGATCTGGCAACGGGGCTGCCCCTGCTACATATACCAGGTATTTGCCCTTCCGCTAAGACACTACTTTGGAACATGCCAAGCATGTGGTTGGATGACTGAGTTGGTACAGCTGCATGATGTTTGTGTTGACCGATGGCTTGTGAGAAAAGATTGACAAGCTCGGGTGTTGCTCCAAACGACTGACAGCGATGATTTCTTGTCAACATTGGGGGGGGGGGGGGGGACCAGCCCCTTCGTACATTTGTACATTTATAACAATTTTCAAGACTTGTAGATTATGGTGTGCCCTATCAGAAAAACTTTGTTCCCTGATCCACAGGTTGCTTGGGAATGACAAAATCTCGGATAAAAAAGCCGAAAATTCTTCATGAGGGGAAAACATAAGAAACAGCGCCCTCTATTGACAAAAGTGGGACGAGAGGCCAAAAAAGCTTTAGTGTCCAAGACTGGCGATCTGTTTTGAGCATGGGTATTTCCCCAGTGGAAGATAGCAAATGACCTGCCTGTTCACAAACGCAAGTCCCAAAGCACTCCCAGTAACGTCCAATCTTTCTTTTTTGCATCCTCAGTAAGCATGGTAAGGTTATGGAGGCCACGGTGAACATAACACTTTGAAAGCATATCCTCGGGAATGACCTCCTCTGCCGATCAAGAATTTCTAGGACTGCATGCTAGGCATTGAAACCCAGGAACAAGATTGAGATATAAAATGTATTGTGAACCTTGTCAAAACACTTGCTTTAACTGTGAAACATTTATATCGTTGAAACGTTTATATTGTTGCATGTAACATTACTATTTATCTTCAAGCAAACTTGAATCCTCGATCCTGATTGGTCGATCCATGGCAACAACAGTGTGATATGAGGCTGTATTGCACGGTCCATATCGCACCCTGCGTATTGTACTATTCCAAGATGTGATCGACATTCCAGCTGAATGCGCTTAACCGCTAAAACTAAAAGGTTCATGTAAAGCGATGGTTCAACTTTACTGCGCATCAAGTTTGCTTGAAGATAAATTCGTAATCACGCTCGCGCTCGTGGAACACGGAAAATGTAGTGCTTCTGTATGTGTCCCATATTATGTGGGACACAGACGCACTACATTATTAATACGAACATTCTGTACAAGAAAAAAATGGTTCTTGACTTTCGCCTTGACACTGTAAGAAATGTTATAAGAAAATGCATAAAATTCTACTTGAGAAACGGTGTAGCATGCTGTATAAGAAACAAAAATGGTTCTTGACTTTCACCTACAGGTACGAATGATGCCTAAAATTCCATTTGAGAAACGGTACGTGTAGCATGCTATATAAGAAACATAAATGGTTCTTAAATTTCACGTAATCGTACGAATGATGCATAAAATTCCATTTAAGAAACGGTGTAGGACTTATGAGAAAATTCTGTGCGAGAAAAAAAATGGTTCTTGACTTACGTATTAAGCATTGTACGAAATGTATATGAAAAAGCATACATTTATCATTGAGAAACGGTGTAGTAAAGTTGCAACTGTGCAAAACTACAATTGTGTCATTTTTGGTGATTCTTCATTTCCCGCTCCATTATTTTGTAGGATGGAGTGATGGAGGCATTATTACCCTCCAAAAGAATGGAGAGGTATCGCCTCCAACGCTCCATTCATGCAAAATAATGGAGCGCTAGGACAATAAGGTGAGGTCACGGGTGGAGTTTAACAATTTGTAATGGCATTCATGACAAGTAACAAACTTAACGAGGAAATCAGCGGATCCGAAGAAAACTTGCGTGCCTGTTTGAATGGAGTGAGCATGTTTTTTTCATTAAAATGCAGTTTCTAAAATTAGCTTTCTAGTCATTATTATTTTAGGTGCTACATATTTTTTTTTAAATATGAAATATATATTTTTGGAGGGTTTGGGTTCTGCTTTTTTTTTAACTCACCCTGTCAGTGGCATGGTGATAAGTTTTGTAGTTAATGTACAGCCATACTCTTTGTCCCCTTTTTCTCATAATCCTTCTAAATACAGTTCTGCAATTAATGGCTGTAAATTGAAATTGCTACTGACGCATTTGCTGTGCACATCAGTTAATTTACCTGTACATACATTTTATGTAAATATTAAACCATGTGTCAGTAATCCATGTACTCAAAAGATACATTTGTAATGTTCAGCAAATAAAATAAAATTCAATGCAAAATGCTCCCATATTAACACTTACCTTCCTGATTAACATTCTGTTTTGGCACTTTTTCCGCTGAAAAAAAATTTGGAAAATCAAACTTGTTGAAATTTCTTACTGTTGTTTTTAATGTCATGCTTGTTTGTACTGCTTCAAATGAACAAGAAACAACCCAGATTAAAAAATAAAACAAATCAATTACAAATAGCAAACAAAAAGCCCTCTAAACTAGCACCACAAGCCACAATGACAATACAAAATGATGATTTGTTATAAAATGGAATTGATCCTCATAAATATTTTGCAAAGAATGGCTTTTTAGACACTGAATATGTTTCAGACTTTTCCTGACAACTGTGATGTCACTTTAGGAACACGTTCTCTTACAATTAATGAAGATTTTTTAAAAAGTGGTAAAATGGCATTTCAAGGATGGCAACAAAAACAAATCCATTACACGAGTCCCTTTAATTCTCTTTATTCTTAGTCATTCTCCCAAAATAAGGGAGACAATTATTCTCAGTAAGAATGAGACGGAGTACAGTTCACGCACTGTACATGTATCTTGACTCAACGACATGCAAAATGCCATGAGCCTTTTGAGGAACCCATGCTCCTCTAAGCATATACTATATAATGGCACTAGTGGCAACTGTAAAATATGAAGCCATTCTGTGTTAATACTTTGACAAGGTCTATTATTACACATTGCGCACTGTACATGTATATATTAGGCCAAACAGGCACGTGTGCATTACACAACCAATACATATTGGCCTAATTGTTACCGACTGTTCATGGATGATATTGGTTGGTCGTGATAACGCCCTCTGGCGGTGGTGGGTTAACGCGGTGGGGTTTATCATGTTTCAAATCATAACAACATCTAGCCCCTAGACTACGTCAGTTCTGAAACAGGGCAATGGTCACATTTACGGGTCCAGAAGTTAACAATCCAGATCTAGTTTCCAAGGCAAAGAAAAGGGAACTAGTTTGTTAACTTCCAATATCCGGTAGCTAATAAACACATATTGACTGGCAATAAGGTCACTATAGTGCAGGTCTATGAGTCCCGAGGGACTGTGAGTGACCAGAGGAGGGTCCTATTTCCCTCTTCTGGTCACTCACAGGCCCAAGGGAGCATAGACGTGCACTAGGGAAAGAATTATGCCAGTCCATATGTGTTTTATAACTCACCTCTGTCCAAAATATAAAATAAGAAAAGAAACCTTTCAGGGTTTTATTATTGAACTGTTTTAATTCAACAATTAACTCATAAGCAATTCAACCGTAAGCAATTCAACAATTGAAGGAGCGCTTTTAGTTCCCTGGATTAAATTTTTGAGTTTGTTTCAGCCAACCCAGATAAAGAACAGGCAAGAGGTGTGTTATAATGTCCACTATATCCACCCCAAAACAAAACCATAATGCCATAGCCATAGCCATTACATGTAGCAATGCTGCAAACCTGGGAAAGAGCAAGCAAGGAGCACTTAGAGAGGATGCAGCTTTTTGACTGGACCAGGGCAGGGTTTGAACTTGTGACCTCCGCATTGCCGTTCTAGTGTTCTACCAACTGAGCCATCCAGCCCTATTTGGTGATTCCCTATTTTGTCAACATATTTGTTCAAGGGGCGCTAGCTCAGAAGCCTTAAACATGTATAATGCCATATAGCCAGAGTTCAAGTACACCCAAAGTCACGATGCTAGCAACACTAGCAATGCTGCAAATCCAGGAGGTTACTAATTTCACATTAAGTGAGGTCAATCATTTCACAGCAAAAGCAATCTCAACGATGCTGAGAGCACATTTGATCAAGCACTACTGGCCGCAAAATGATGGTCAAACACCATCCCAACAATTCTCTTCCCTACATGTAGCTCCCAGCTGTACTTTACATCATGCATGTCTGACGGTAACCAACTGTTGGCTGTTTGGTTAGCTAGACTTGTCCGACCATTAAAATGTTCAATCCAAGAGATTTAACCATGGTTTATGATCAAACTTGCCCTTCAGTTACATGTAACATACCATGATTGCTTGATGCAGCCTAGAAGCAAAGCGGAACTAATGTTCAATACAAAAGATTTAACCATGGTTTGTGATCAGACTTGCCCTTCAGTTTACATACCATGATCGCTTGATGTAGCTTATAGAAGCAAAGCGGATAAAGGACAGCAAAGCATGAGCACAGTAAATGATGCTGCCAAGAAAAACGATAAAGACGTGGTTCATTTGCAAGAATGAGTATAAGAGATTGCAGGAGAGCACAAATATTAACAAGATTGCAAAACTGAAGGGTTGCTAAAGCTTCCTCTGCCTTCCACCCTCCCCACATCTCACATGGAGAACACAGACATTCCTTGCGCCAAATTGCCAAGACATTGGTTTAGATATTATTCATTAATTCCTACATGTAAGACAGTTTACGCATTCCTATTGGTCGAAAGCCCGTCAAGTGGCTGGTCTTAAACGGATGATAAAGACATGGCTAGCTGGTCTTAAACACTTTTCCAGTGTCACATGAAATTTGGACTCCTATGAAATCCGGTGCCTTTTAACGTTTCATTGGTTGAACGTTCACATTCCTCCCGTATGCATGCGCAATGTACTACCAGTGAATCAGTGTTTCATGGTCCAAAATTCACACTTCACCAGCCCAGCTGCGTTTTGCACGACATCGTGCAGTACGCGCGACGCGCACGCCAAAGTCCCTTTAAGGTAACGAGTTGTGGAGGGGCATTCCATATTATAGTCAGAGGGGTGTTTTGTAAAACATGATGTAAAATTGTTGAACAAAATGGTTGGCAACGTCTAGTTTTTGACATTTTTTTGATTTTTGGACCGAAAAGATATTTTTTTTTTAGACCGAAAAGGTATTTATGAATGGGAATAAATATGTGTTCGGTAGGTATTAAACACTCTTTTTAAGACCAGTGGGAGTCTTGATGGGTGATAATTACCCATCCAGACTCCCACCGGTCTTTAACAGAGTGTTATAATACCTCCTGAACACATTTATTCCCTTATTGTTACAATCATTGTAAATATCAAGCAATTGCATCACCAGGTAATCCAAAACCTGAATTCAATAAACATTACTAAAACCGCATTAAACATTGTGTGTTTGGCTAAAAGAGAGGCTGTTGGCTGTGTATATCCCATCAAAAATGAGGCCAACGTTATGGAAACTGAAAATGTCCTCTAAATGGAGGAGCTTTGGAGTGGCTGAGGCAATTTCATATTTTCAAATCAGTTTAGATGTTGCTTGATCAATGAGGTGTGATTTTTTGGTTACTGGGGGTGCTGTCTACCATGCAAAGCTTCATTCAGTCACAAATGAAACGTGAAAAGTAGTGAGAGTTATACTTACAGCAACAGCACTTCTTCCTGTATCGGTAGATTATGCCCAGAACTACTCCAACCAAAACACAGCAAAAAAACATTAAAGCCAAGGCCCAACCTTCAGTCAAAAAGGGAAAGAAAACAAATTGCAGCTTTAGTAAAATTGAATTTAGTTAATTGAAAAGTGCACTTCTTTAAACATTAAAAATACTGCAAGTGAGACTTGCACAATCCCCCAGTATGCTGGCAGGTTTTTTTGTAAAGTCATGCAGTGCCCCTAACCAAAATGGAAGATTTCAATTGTTTTAGTAATAGTGACCTTGACCTGTCGGCCCCAAAATCAATAGGCTCGATAAGACTACCTACCAAGAGCAACCCAAATTTGAAGTTCCTAATAAAGTATTTCTCAAGCATTCATGCTGACAATATGACTCATGAGTGCAAGGGGACAATGATCATGTATTACTTGCATAATTAATGCATCAGCTTAACTTGAAAACAACTGCGTGTTCATTATTTTTCATGATTTGTCATGATCATTTCCTAAGAATGATCATGCATTCAAAACGTTTGATTAAGGCACTTTTTTACCCAGTGTTACAACTGATAATGTAGTAACCAACGGATAACGTATCACCAACCGATAATGTATCACAAATTGACCGATATTGTATCACTAACCGATAATGTAGCAAAAATTGACTGATAGTGTAGTAAAATTTGTATCCGATAATGTATCACGTGTCGTCGGATAATGTAACTACAAAATAACTGTATCCGATAATGTATCACCACGGAACGGATACTGTATCAACCAATAATGTATCAAAAATCAACCGATAATGTATCAGTATATTTGGAAAAGGTGGAAATATTGCAAATTAATTAAAGTCTAATAAGTGTCTTTGCTATGATAAGGTCCCACTCGGGAAAGTTTATCATTAAGAATATTTTTTAACTGCAATCGCACATCCGCGCCGAAATGTGGACAAATTCTTTTCTCCGGACACTTGGCCTCCGCATGGGCTCCGTGCTCCAACCCAAGAGGGCGCATTTTACCACTTTTGAGAGCACCATGTATGGAGATCAATGGACGGGACACAGCATGTGCGAACTTGTATTGTACTTGTTCGCGCGCAAAGTTCAACGCCACTTCCAGAATTTGCCAAGGCTATTAGCCGCAGCGTCTTCGCATGATTGTCAGGCAACGTCGGCGCGCGCATACGTTCAATTTAACTTGCGATGGTCTTACAGACTATTCCCTCCCCCAATAACTTTGCATCATTCAAAATACGCAGTGGATGGACCGGGACCAGTATAGGTCCTCCCCCAACTCTCCGTTTCTTGCCGTTGAAGGGGCACTTGTGCACGGAGCTTATATAGCTCCATGGTAAAATCAAAAAGACTGGGGGGGGGGGGCTGGAGACCACATGACACTGGGGGCGCTGTTCATGATACAGATGTATCAGCGCATTTCAAGCTTTTTGTGCTTTTTCTCCCTTTCTCAGTACTATTTAATACATTTCGGCGGTTGGAAAGTGGAAAAACACCTCAAAATCTGCCCTTTTTTCTCTAAATACAAAATAATGGGGGTGGGGTGATCCAATAGCCCAGACCCCTTTCCCTGGTCAAAAAGTGGGGCTGGATACATAGGACATAAAACAAACATTTGTGTACACCTTTTCCCCGTACTGATACATTATCGGTAGATTTTTGATACATTATCGGTTGATTTTTGGTACTTTATCGGTTGATACAGTATCCGTTCCGTGGTGATACATTATCGGATACAGTTATTTTGTAATTACATTATCCGTCGACACGTGATACATTATCGGATACAAATTCTACTACAATATCAGTCAATTTTTGCTACATTATCGGTTAGTGATACAGTATCAGTCAATTTGTGATACATTATCGGTTGGTGATACATTATCCGTTGGTTACTACATTATCAGTTGTAACACCCAGACTTCAGAACAGATACCATGACAAAATATATGCATTTTTTCCCCCTTATAATTCTTACAGCTGATTAACGTTTTAGTTGAGAAATATTTTCTTTCCTTTTATGATACCAGAAATATCTTCTTGACTTATTTAGAAGAAATTTCTTGTTTAAGAAAAAAAATTGTGTCAAGAAATTATTTCTTATACTACCCAAGAAAAACACTGCTAGCAGTAAGAAAACAACAAGAACATTTTCTTTAATTGCATGAGATTCTTTTCTTGATTCAAGAAAAGAAAAGAGGTTTTCTTGTGTCACTCCCTAGAAAATTTAATGTGAACATTTTTCTGATAGATTTTTTTGATACAAGTCAAAAAATGAGAAAAAAATCTTAGACAAGATTTGTTTTCTAGCACCATAAGCAAAAGAATTCCCCAGTTCTTACTTTGAGAAAAGTGAAGAAAAGAATTCTTACTTTGGATTTCTTAAATCAAGGTTCGATAACCTTTGATCAAAATGTGAAACAGAAGGATCACATATCAACAGCATATCAACGCGGTGTTTGATGAAATTCTAAAAGTTACTATTTGTTAGGATCCAGAATTGGAATGGTTTATGGTCCAAAAAATTTGTGTAAGTCACAGACTCATGCACTGTGAATAAAGCTGAGATCTTGCACATATTAGAATATGGCGTAACACAATAAAAAGGTACACATACACATGGTGATGTCAAAATCGGATGCTAGGCTTACTGTCAGCTCCATGCACAGTGAAATCTCGATAAGTCAAACCTCAAAGAAACAGGTTCAAAATTTGACTTAAGCAGAGTTTTGAGTTGACCAGGGTTGTATATCATTGTTACACTGCTGAAGGGAATGGATTGTTTGTTTGACTTAACAGTTGTTTTGAGTTATCAGAGTTTGACTAGTCGAGTTTTTCACTGTACTTATTACAACTCACCAGGGTAACACTCATGTTGTATTTCAGGAAATGGGCAAGCTGGCTCTTCAGCTGTTCAGTAAGTAATGCGGAAAAAAAAAACACTTTAAATGTTTACTGAATCAAACCTGGAAAGGTCCATGAACTCATCCCTCATAACACAAATTTATCAATCTAGTCCAAAATGAATATGCAATGCCCTAGCATTATTTGAAACTTTCGAACAAATCTTTGTCTGCCACACTAAGTTGAATTATTACATTCCTGAGCACAGCAAATTTGTCATTGAGAGAACGATTAATTTTATGGCTTTGCTTTTGCTCGCAAAAAGATTTTCAGGCACAAAAGATTTTCTTAATGACATACAATGTAGGATTAATTACATTTATCCCAAAAGTAAACTAATAAATTATTATCAAGCCTCTTATACTTGAGTTAAAGATCATACTGGAACTAAACACACCGTGAAATTATTCCATCTGGCTTGAATTGTTATCATTTAGAAGAAATTATGAATTGTACGTGATTTCCAAAGATCAGTCAATTGATTGATCTTTGGAAATAAACATGTGTTACATCATGGTTCTCATATTTCTTAAGTACTTCATTTACCTGTCTCTAATAATAGACATAATTTCCAGCGCCTTGAGTACCTAAATGTTGGAAGATACGTGCGCTATACAAGACTTCGGTATTATTATTATTAGATAAAATTAACGGTGCATACTTAGCGCATGACTTTGCGCCAGAAATGTGTCCCTATTAGGAGTGGTCATCATCTGCTGTTCATACAAATGTACACGGATGAGTCCATACATGGACCTCTTCAAGTGGTGATCTTCCAAACAAAGTTAACTAAATGAAATGCCTTTCAAAATTTCACCTGATTTATTCTCCTCTGTATCGGCTGGGCAACTCAAGTCGGTGCAGTTGGACTGCTCACAAACTGCAAAACAAAATAAAAGTCAGCTACAGTATGACTTACACTGTCCAATAGTTGAAACCACTTAAATGTGAACAGAAAAGATAAATCACCCAAAAATACATTTGGCAAAAAAAAAAAAAAAAAAGTTTTTAAAAGCCATGTGGCTATAGAAACGTTTGCCTGAACAAGACTGTCCCAAAAGACAATGGCAAAAAAAACATGGCTAAAAAAAAAAGATGGCTAAAAAGCAGGCTTCCAAAAGACATTGGTCACAACAAATTACATAGATGGCTTCAAAAGTCACCAGCTGCAGGGGCTGATCAATGCACAAGACGTGTCTTAACTTGGGACTCCTCTTAGTCTTAGGATGAATTTCATCAAATTAAAGATGCACTTAACATGTCCTTGATTGTAACTTCCCCAGCATCATGTCTATTAAACCCATCTGAACTTAAGATCACTCTTAGGGCCGGATCTCATCCTGTGACTATGTGCATTAATTTGCATAACGTCTTAAAATCATGGCACTTTCGACTTAGGACCATAGTTCCAAGACAGGAGACTCTGTAGCTAAATTTGCGCCTTGGGATATATACATATAGCAGCTTAACCATACATTTGTCTCTCTGTTAGTTAGTTATTTAGTTAGTTAGTAACAAACGTTGCAATTGTCTATTGCTCCTACATATTTTGACCAATTTCAAACCAAACTTTGTCAAAGTATCAGTACACAGCCCTAACATGTCACATATGAGCAAACTGAGGTCAAATGTCATCATGGGGTCACAGGGGTCAAAATGCTGATTTTGTTCACTCAAAACACTTCTCCTTCCAGAAATTTAATTCCACAATCACATGACTCAGGTATAAACACGAATTTGTTGGCCCGCAGCTTCCGAGATCTGATCAAGATTGCTAATATTGAACCTTTAAGCTGACAATTTTTAAAAATTATTTTTGTGTGCATTTTTTTTCAATGGCCATTTTGGTAAGTGGTAAAAAAAAACAAAAATGATAAAGGCACAAAATAACATGATACATGAGATTTGAAGGTTTGCACGGTGGAAAGATACTACAAGATAGTTTGCGGTAGCACCATGTGAATAAATCTCTTTGGGAAGTATCGTGGTTCTGAAAAGAACGAGAGGGACTCAACGTTTCGAACAGTATGCTTGGCTTGTCGCCATGATACCTGATATGTAAAATTGGCAATTTCGTCCTTGTTCAATAAGTAACAATTCTCTGAACTATACCTTTATGTGTCTTAAGATAAATTTGGTGAAATCGGTTTAGGATGCTTCTTTGATAGGATCGATCTAAGACAGGGGACTCAATTGAAAGTCCCAAAACGCATCTCGTAGGGTAAGAAACGGTTTGTGATGTCAGCCCATGGCCAAAGCTATAGTTGGCCCCAGCAGGTGGCAACATTTTGCCACAAAAAGACACTAATGGACTAATGGTGTCTAAAGAGGTCCCTTATAAAACACAACAAAAAGACAGCTGCCCCAATTAGTTGAAAAACATAAAAAAAACTGCCAAAGTTATCAGCTTGCCACAAAGAAACAGGATCCAGGCCACTGAATGGGACACCTGTACAAATATCACATGCAAATATGTTTTTCTGTGATAAAAAATAGGAGGAATGGTCAGGTCATTTTGGGGAGTCTGTTGGCTGCAAAATGGATAAAATACAATAAATGGCGCTGTCATTGTAAATGATATACATGTAGCTCACAAAGTACAATAGATCTATTGTACTTTGTGAGCTATATCATTTGTATGACAGTGTCCCATGGTTTGCAATCAGTATGGCTGCTATAAACCACAGGAACTGTGTTTTCTCGATATTCAACTGAAGTCCGAAATGTTGGATGCCTCACCTTCACGTGGGATTGGCCATGCCCGGCAGCCACAAACCTGGTCTGACTTTCCTGAGGCAGGTGTGATAACCTTTGATCAAAATGTGAAACAGAAGGATCACATGTCAACAGCACATCAACGCAGTGTTTGATGAAATTTCTAGAAGTTACTATTTGTTACGATCCAGAATTGGAATGGTTGATGGTCCAAAAAATTTGTGAAAATTGTACAAGTGGACAGTTTAAATTGACCTATCGCTGTTTGTGAGTTAGCCATGCCCCTTAGACAACATGATGGAATTTTGTACGTTAAGTTTTGTTTGTCTCAGATTTTGCATGTTCCGCGTCCAATTGTATATCGTGTAATCGGACAATATTTCACAAGCTGCGTTGATGCAATTCTACCGCAATAAGTTAATCTTCTTTTAGCTCAGTTCTGTGAATAAGGCATATTCCTCAGCGAGTGACAGCACTTTAACAATGCAACTGCTAAAAAGAAGTTTCCTAACTTTGTTTAAATACAAAATGTAAAGATTGTAAAAGTGTAATTTTTGAATTGAAGCAATGTATGTAAACTATAACCCCCAAGTGGCATTGTAACAGAGTCCTCATTCATTCAAAAATATTGCCTCTATATGCCTTTGTGATGTCACTCTGGGTCATCTCCAATAGTAACTGTTCCACAATATGTCTTGTTCGCCATTTTACCGTACGTTTTAAACGGGCGATTGAGGTGAACATTTTCTACTTAAGATTTAGTGGACATTAAGAATACGTAAACTTGAAAATGGGACAGTGCTTCGTAGCTGACTTTATTTATCACTCACAACGTGACGGATGCCATTATTTTGATTTTCCAACGGATAAAAAAATTGATGAAACAGTGGGCACCGCGCTATCGCTAGGTAAGGCCAAGTTTGTGCGGAACACATAACATCAGCGGCGTATGACTAATGTTGTGCAAAAAGACCCAAAACTGAATGTGAGAAAACGACCCGACCCGAAACTGACTTTGGTTCAGATTGAGTTGGTTTTTCCATCATTTCAGTCGGGTCGGGTTGGTTTTGGTTTTTTGTTTGCAAGTTTCACGCCGGGCCGGGTTGGTTAAGCCATCAAGTGAAAAACCCGAAATACCGAAAATCAATGAAACAACTCGGAAGTTCACACGATGCAATATTATTGCAGAAACTGTCACTGTGCCCGGTACAGCGTGCGTACTAGGCGCAACGGAAGGTCACGTTAGGAGTGTTCACTTTACCGCACGGTGTGATTCTTCACCGAGAGTCGACGAATTTCCACAATTCAGGTGACAGGGGTTACTAGTTCAGGCAAAAAAGGCAGACAGAGTGTTCGTGAAATAAAGAATAAATTGCCTAAACCAGATATTCTTTGTTTTTTGGGGTTGGTTTGGGTCGGTTTTTCTTTGAATTTTTTCGGGTCGGAGTTGGAAATTGGTTTTATATCTATAACGTTTCGGGTCAGTTTCACCTGGTCAACCCGGCCCAATCCAAAACATTAAGGAGACCATAAACGCCGGTTCATGTATACATGCTATCGTCCTTGACATCAAATTCATTCGCCGCGAGTTCTATGGTAAGCAGAGCTGGTATGCAGTTATGTTATTAAAAAACAAGTCAGGTGTGTTTACAAACACAAATGCCCCGCAACCGTGACTGTTCCCATGACATAACACCACTCTTTTAACATCAACTTACATGTACCTTGGTCACATGGAATGTTCATTGACAGCATTAGTGTCTTCTGTAGGTTTTATATGAATTAATCCCTAATCCCTATGATCTCAGAATAAATACAAGATTTCGATTGTTTTAGCCACTGTGACCTTGACCCTTGACCTTTTGGCCCCAAATGCAAAAGGCTTCTTAGGATTACCAAGGACAATCCACAAACCAAATTTGAAGTTCATATGTAAAGTATTTCTCAAGTTATCGCGCTGACAAAATTTCTATTGTTTCAGCCACTGTGACCTTGACCCTTGACCTTTCGGCCCCAAATGCAATAGGCTTCTTAGGATTACCAAGAACAATACACAAACCAAATTTGAAATTCATATGTAAAGTATTTCTCAAGTTATCGCGCTGACAAAATTTCTTTTGTTTTAGCCACTGTGACCTTGACCCTTGACCTTTCGGCCCCAAATGCAATAGGCTTCTTAGGATTGCCAAGGACAATCCACAAACCAAATTTGAAGTTCATATGTAAAGTATATCTCAAGTTATCACGCTGACAAAATTTCTATTGTTTCAGCCACTGTGACCTTGACCCTTGACCTTTCGGCCCCAAATGCATTAGGCCTCTTAGGATTGCCAAGGACAATCCACAAACCAAATTTGAAGTTCATATGTAAAGTATTTCTCAAGTTATCGCGTTGACAAAATTTCTATTGTTTCAGCCACTGTGACCTTGACCCTTGACCTTTCGGCCCCAAATGCAATAGGCCTCTTAGGATTGCCAAGGACAATCCACAAACCAAATTTGAAGTTCATATGTAAAGTATATCTCAAGTTATCACGCTGACAAAATTTCTTTTGTTTTAGCCACTGTGACCTTGACCCTTGACCTTTCGGCCCCAAATGCAAAAGGCTTCTCAGGATTGCCAAGGACAATCCACAAACCAAATTTGAAGTTCATATGTAAAGTATTTCTCAAGTTATCGCGCTGACAAAATTTCTATTGTTTCAGCCACTGTGACCTTGACCCTTGACCTTTCGGCCCCAAATGCAATAGGCCTCTTAGGATTACCAAGAACAATACACAGACCAAATTTGAAGTTCATATGTTAAGTATTTCTCAAGTTATCGTGCTGACAAGATTTGTCCGGACACACACACCCACACACCCACCCACCCACCCACCCACCCACACACCCACCCACCCACCCACCCACCCACCCACGGAAGGACAAGGCGGAAACAGTATGCCCCTTCGGCTTCGCCGCGGGGCATAAAAAATGGTAGCCACTCCATCCACCCAAAAATTACCTCTTCATTGGACTCACATGTTGTAATGTTACAACATTCCTCGCATCGATTCATGTGGGGTGCAAACGTCCCATCAGGGCAGGGCGTGCAGGGTGATCTATAACCGAACAGAGAAGACGGGGAACACTGTCAATGGGCGTCTTCATAAAAAAACAAGTCAGGTGTGTTTACAAACACAAATGCCCCGCAACCGTGACTGTTCCCATGACATAACACCACTCTTTTAACATCAACTTACATGTACCTTGGTCACATGGAACATTCATTGACAGCATTAGTGTCTTCTGTAGATTTTATATGAATTAATCCCTAATCGAAATAATCTCAGAATAAATACAAGATTTCTATTGTTTTAGCCACTGTGAACTTGACCTTTGGCCTTTTGGCCCCAAATGCAAAAGGCTTCTTAGGATTGCCAAAAACAATCCACAAACCAAATTTGAAGTTCACATGTAAAGTATTTCTCAAGTTATCGCGCTGACAAGATTTCTATTGTTTTAGCCACTGTGAACTTGACCTTTGGCCTTTTGGCCCCAAATGCAAAAGGCTTCTTAGGATTGCCAAAAACAATCCACAAACCAAATTTGAAGTTCACATGTAAAGTATTTCTCAAGTTATCGCGCTGACAAGATTTCTATTGTTTTAGCCACTGTGAACTTGACCTTTGGCCTTTTGGCCCCAAATGCAAAAGGCTTCTTAGGATTACCAAGAACAATCCACATACCAAATTGGAAGTTCATATGTTAAGTATTTCTCAAGTTATCGCGCTGACAAGATTTCTATTGTTTTAGCCACTGTGAACTTGACCTTTGGCCTTTTGGCCCCAAATGCAAAAAGCTTCTTAGGATTACCAAGAACAATCCACAAACCAAATTTGAAGTTCATATGTTAAGTTTTTCTCAAGTTATTGCGCTGACAAGATTTCTATTGTTTTAGCCACTGTGAACTTGACCTTTGGCCTTTTGGCCCCAAATGCGAAAGGCTTCTTAGGATTACCAAGAACAATCCACAAACCAAATTTGAAGTTCATATGTTAAGTATTTCTCAAGTTATCGCGCTGACAAGATTTATCCGGACACACGCACACACACCCACCCACTCTCAAATTTGTATCCTTGTGGAGACATTCCTTTGTTCTCGTGTAGTAAAGTGTTCAATTTTGAAAGTGAAGTTTCAAAATGCTCTTATTTTAACCCGAATTAGTTTCCTTGGCTGAAATTTGGACTTGATATCCCTTTTCTAAAACTCTTTCATTTGCGACAGATCAACCCACCTTGGAAATTCCTAGTTTTTGAGTAAAACCCATATATCTATTTCGTGAAAACCTTGTGGAGACCTATTCATCTATAGAAATTGCCCTGTGGAGACCTTTACAATGTTTTGTTCCCTATTGTGTGTGTGTCTCCACAAGGATACGAATTTGTAGTCACACACACACCCACCCACACACCCACACCCACCCACACACACACCCACCCACGGAAGGACAAGGCGGAAACAGTATGCCCCTTCGGCTTCGCCGCGGGGCATAATAAAATTGAAGTGTTGATGAACTGAGGATGAACGATGGTCCCGAATCTTTAGTGCTGTTCATTGCGAAATGGACACATTCCTAATCAGAACAATTTTTGCTCCCGTTTCATGTACTTGTTGGTCTCCCTCACCAAACTGGATTTTTGTTCAGGCCACAGACACTCATCCCAAAAATGGTACATGTACACAATTTGCCAATTATTCATTGCTGCATCAGTGTCAAGTTTTTTCATATAGACTGTTTGAGACAACCATTTAAGTGCTGTATGTGCCACTATTGTGTAAACATTAGTGCTGTGCCACTAGTGTGAATTAGTTGCGACCCCTATTTCATTGTCCTCAATATAAATGTTAGTTATATTTGAATGAGACATACATGAAGAATGCAAACAATTCACTGACGTTTAATAATCAAATTATTTTTTTTGCCAAAATTTGATTTATTGGCTACCAGACAATAATTCAGCGCTCTCAGGGTGGGTTCATTTATGTGCAAAATGAAAACCCTTTTTGAAAAGCTTGCAAACGCCCCAAATTGGAATAAAGTAGTTTTTTTTTCTTCATTAAACAATATTGAAAGATTGTAAACTTACCAAGGTGCTTGCAATTGCTTTAAAACCAGCTGGGAGTAGGCAGAGCACCACAAGTTTGGGTACCAAACCAAAATGGTTCTTAACACCATGTTTTTATTGCCATGCCGAATTCAGAAAAGCCAAATTAATTGAGTTTGGCATATGCCAGTACAAGCATCATCTAGAACTGGCCAAATTTAACTTACTTGGTGTTCGTCGGGCTCTTGTATGTTCCTCTAGGACAGTAACACTCGGGGCCTAGGCCTGTCCAACAGAGAGTCTCAGTTCCGTCTCCATCACATTCTCTTTTGCCTGTAGACTAGAAAATGTAAGATGTGCATTTCCTTAAAGAGAAGTCATAGACAATTACGTCTATCCGTACCAGTTATGCATCTTAAGGCCAATGTCAGCATTACAGGGTGGCCCAATAAACATTGTGCATGAAGAAATTGCAGCTTTTCTCAAAAGTTGGTCAGAGTAGCTAATCAAATTTTATATCATTTAAAAGCTGGTCTTGTTTATAATTGGTGAACATATCAAGAAAATCCATCAATGCAAACCAGAGATATCGTTGATTTTGTAAGGCTATACAAAATCCAATTTCTGTTAAACATGTTAACCATGCATGGTTACCTAAAGGTCTCTCTCAAAGACGGCCATCTGAGGAGAACTGCAACTGCGTATTTTACACAATCAAGCACGCATTGCGCAGTGTTGAAAATGTTCCAAACCTGCGCGCTTGTTGCTCGAAATACAACGCAGCTAGCCAACCGGTACATGCCGTATGCGCGTTATGCAAGATGACACTCAAACTGCAGATGCACACGGCGGAAATGACGTCATCTGAGAGAGACCTATAGTCATGACACAACAAATTTCCTGTGTGGGACACTGGGAGGAAGTGTGACTGCATGGTTGTGGGGGGCGTCACGATTTTTTATGCAGGGGAGCTGAGGGGAGGGGGGGGGGGGCATGATGAGGACATTTAAATCTGCCTTAAGCTAGGCATGCTAGGGTTGCACATTTCTTTTATACTACTAGTAGCTGAAGACAAGAGGGGGGGGGGGGGGGGAAGAATGCTGCAACCTGACGCAACTTTTGTCTTCAAACATGTATAATCATCTCCAAGGTGAGTCATTGCAAAAATGTTGAAAAGACATGAATCTGTGACTGAGAAACATTTCTAATGTTGTTAGGAAATACTTCGACAATTTTCTTGACTCTCAATATAATGTGTACACAAACACTCAAGCGGCGTCATCCAGGATACTAAATTCTTGGGGGGGGGGGGGGGGGGTAAAAGAGCCGTTCCTTCCCCCATGGTTAAACAGAAAAAGTGCATGATTACATGATGGCAGTACAGCCGCTTGATAGGGCAGTGTGATAGGCCAATAGTGCACAATTTTGTTAGCCCATCTTTTCCAACACGACACCCTGCAATACTTACCGAGCTGCAAGCTGCATCAAGACCACGAACTAAAGTGAGGGCCAGTATACATGTAGCTCCAGCAAACATGATTGGCATGGTTGCCATGGCTGCTGCAACTTGAAGATTCTGGAGGTTAGTCTGGAAAGTGAAACCAAATCGTGCATAGGATGGTAAAAGGTGACTCAATAGACAAGACACAAATTGTAACACAAATATATTTTGAAATTGTATGCATTTTTGCAAATTTATGCTACTGTTGCGTAGTATTATATCCCAACAACATGGCCTGCAGTTTTGTCTGCCCAGTCCAACATACTAGTAGTTGAGTTTTAATTGATTCCCTCTAGGAGCAAGGCCCAAAGTACAATTTCACCAAATTTGCACACCTGGGTATATGCTGCCTTAAACAATCTAGAGATGATTTTGTTTCCCAACCAAAATGCATTCATGAGGGGGGGAAAGTATAACAGCTTTAACTGCGCGGATTTGATGTAAGGTAATTAAGGGGCACAAGTATAGGAAAGATTCCCATATCCCGCCATCACTCATTTTTCCCTTCAGTGACCTACAATGTATCAGCCATCAGAAAGTGATAATACATGTATGTCCTAAAAAGTCAAAGTTAGCGGGGAATATTGACGGATTTACTGAGAAAACACTAAGAAATGTTCAGACCAGTTTCATACGGTTTGTGCACGGGGTGAAAACGGAAAAGTGATGGCCAGATATGGGCATCTTTCCCAAGTGTACATATACCGATAGCATGCACATCTGTATCATGAACAGTGCCCCCTATTGTCATGTGGTGTCCAGCAAGCCCCAACGAATTTCCACGGCCGGGCAATTTCATTTTAGTCATCCCCCATCCCACTATACTAGTCCCCGGCACCGATTTAGGAAGATGGACAAAATGTTGCAACCTGATGCTTGATTTATGCAATTGTGTATGTTACGCCGCGACTATCGCATCGGTCCCAACTATAGTTGGGACTGTCCCAACTGTAGTGCGGCAGTTGGGTCGGCCCAACTATAGTGCGGCAGTTGGGTCGGCCCAACTATAGTTAGGACTGGAGTTGGCCAGACGCTCGATACAGGGTGTTAATGCGGCATCATGTACTCGTCGTGCATGTACATGTATGCCGAAGGGGCGGCCGGCCTCGTGGTACGTACTGCTTAGTTGGATGAGTTGTCCAGCTCGGTATAAGTCCAGCAACATTTTTTATGCAAAATTCAAAGATTGGCGTGGCCCGGCCCAGCCCAGCTATAGATGAGCCCCACCCATAGCTAATTTCAATGGTTCCAAGTAAAGTCAGACGTGTATATATATCAGAGCTGTAGAAATGTTACGGTAGCTTTACAGCAAGTGATCTATAGTTAGGACTGCAAAATTCAAAGATTGGCGTGGCCCAACTATAGATGGGCCCCACCCATAGCTATGGATGGTTCCAAGTAAAGTCGAACATGTATCAGAGCTGTAGGGAATGTTTTATAGGGTGTAAAAATATTGCAGTGGCCCAACTGTGGATATTCCCCACCCATAGCTAATTTCATGGTAAAGCATAGAGCTCTATGAGTGAAGTCATATCTGAAAAATGCAGCACTTTCTGATTAGCCTATAAAGAGGGTGAGTATGCTTCTAAAGCCAAAAACCCCTACAATTGTACAAACTAAAGCCTAAATGTGAAAATCAAAATTTTGCAAAGTGCGACACTTTTTTGTACATCATCATGTGGATGTGTGGCCTATGTTTACGGAGGCAGTCCAGTAAATAGGCCACATTTTTGGGGCTAGACGTCACATGCCCAACTACTAGCCCTGGTGGACTCCCTTTCCTCCCTACGTAGTCGTATTGCAATGAAGACTTCGTCCAACCTGGGCTAGCCCAACTACCTCCCTGTCAGTCACCTCTACGCCCAAATTATGTAGAATCGTCAAATTTCCAACGAGTAGGATAAACAAGTGCAAGGATCTTCTTACTTAGAAATCGTGAAATGAGCTTAGCGATGTCACGTCGGGTGCGGGCGAGTTATATGCAGCTTAGCTCGGTCCATACTGCATCATGCATATATGTGGGCGCGGCTTTATTATGGTAGTTGGTTGGTTGGTACAAAGTACAAATGTCGGCGCGGTCGTCCAATTAGTGCCGCTGATCTGGCGCGGCGCCCTCAAGAGTTTGGTGACTGCCAAAAACGGCGGAGTCTAGTCGTTTACTCGTTGCACTTGATACATGTGATGTGATAAGTTGATGTGGCTTTTTTGATGGTCCATGTTTTCTTGTGATTATTTTATTAAATGATGTCACCGATTATCATTGCACATGTTTATTGCTACTATAACCACAGTCTTATTTAAACCTTAGGCCATAATATACCAACATTAAGCATTAGCAATTCTCAGGGCGATGTCATGATCGTGAAGTGTAGGGCCCGATTCTAACCATGGTTATGGAGGAAGAAAATATTTTCTTCCTCCATCCCATGTTCTAACTAAGGAAACAAAATCCACTTAAAAACATTATTGGACCTAGGCCTGTGGCGACATTCTCAATAAACAGGTAGGGGCTTTGTCATAGATAGAGGGCAGGGTTTTGATTTTATGAGGGAAATTTGGGGGTAAAATGACGATCGGTCAGCGGCGACAACACGCGTGCGACCCGAAACACACCGCGCAATGTGTACCGTGAGCACGCGTGCACGGCGCGCTGAATCGCAAAGGCACAAACCGCGCAGGAAAATCGTGATTTCTACCCCAGGAATCTGTTCACAATCACAAAACGGGTGTCATTAGAATTGAGAAAGGTCTGCTTTTGATTGTAAAGGTGATTTTTGAACAATAAAAAACATTTTTGACTCGAATTTGATCAAAACAATACAGGGGACCCAGGCGCGGTTCTAGAACCAATATTTTTGGGGGCTACTAGTACTAGCAGGGTTGATCCAGAATTTTTTTCTGGGAGGCGCGCTGAAATGTAGACCGGTTATTTTCTCCAGACAATTAGGCCTCCGAAAATCAATAGGGGGGGGGGGGGGGGGAGCCTCATGCCATATTTTCAATGGGGAGCGCCAATAAAATCCTAAAATCATTCACACTATTTACTAACTATCGGTACAAATTATGCACCCTTGTCACGACTATTTATTTAGGGGGAGACCGTTCGCATGTACATCACAATCCTTCTTTTTCCTAATGCAATTTCTTTTTACGGAATTTAGTTTTTTTTTGGGGGGGGGGGCTGCTTTAGAGCCATACGAATTACGAATCAGAAACAAAAATTAAATCTGGCCTTTGCCAGCTTTTTGGTTCAAAATATAGAGGGCCAGGGGGTCCTAAATGTAACTTATGCCAAAAACAATCTGCCAACATGTGTTGTGATGCATATTTTATTTGTGTTCTCCTCATCTGATGATTATACTAAACCGTTAATTGGCCAAGCAGTATACCTACCACTAGCATTTCACAGCTTCTTAACCCTGCGCAGAGTGACCTGCTGCCCTTTGGGCCCCAGGTAACCGAATTTTTTTGAATAAAAAAAAAATTAGGGCCAAAAACGTTCACCCCCTATCTAATCCTCATTCAACCCGCCCTTGCCAAATCAGCTGGTTCAATGAACTTTGCAGCCAGGGCTACACCCAGGCCGTGTCAACAAACTTTCGACCAGGCCTCCTGCCAAGTCTCATTGAAACATCAACAAAGACCTCAGTAACTTGACACAGTCATCTCCCTTCATAACTGCATACCACAGCCGCCAGTCAATTATCTTTCCAGCGCACTGTCTGGCAACTGTCTGGACACTGTCTGGCACGTGGCTTTTTGTTGTATTGCTATGAATAGGGTCTTGCGTAGTGCGGGAAAGTACCTGTACGAGTTGTTGCAAACGCTGCGCAGGGGTCAAGGTATATCTGCAAATTTTATTTTTGTTTGTCGTTATACCATTTTCAGTTAGCTACAATATGACGGAACGAGCAACGGATGATATGCCAGCCGCAGAAGATGCAGATGTGCCACGGAAGACGCCCCTCTTTCTCTTCTACACCTGTAAGACCTCAGGGAGCAGCTTCTTGAAGCACAAGCTCCTTGACATTGCCGTCCACTGCTGGCCGTATGACGACAGGGCGCTGGACACGGAAGGATCAACCATGCAGATAATTAGGACAGGGAAACTAGATGTGGGTACAAAAATGCAACTGGCCGCATTTATTTTCAGTATTTCGTACTTTATACAATGTAAGACATGCTTCTATAAGCAAAACATCATTGAAAACCCAGTTTGTTTCTGTATTCAATAGGGGACGTTAAACAATAGAGGACAATAGGGTCCCCATTTCCCGAAGGTCCCCAATTTGGCGATGTGTACAAAACATATGGGAGGTCTGCCTAAAAAGTACAAACAAAAGAGGGATAATGGATTAAACTGTTGGCGTCCAAACATTCAGGATTCAAACATATGACAGTGTCAAATGTTCAGTTTGTACACTATTGTGGCCATCTTCGATTTTAAAGATGGCCGCCAAATAATAAATGCATTTACTGATATCTCAGCCTATACCTCATATCAAATCACTGTAGGTGTCAAAACATACATTTTCAGGGTCAGGAAATACAACTCTTTTATTCAGAAGAGACCAAGATGAATTTAGTTATACACACAAAATAGTCAAATTGACGATAACATCTCGAACAGAATACCGTTGATATATACTGCAGTCACCGAAAATACTGTATGAAGTTACACAACATTATATGAGAATAAATGTCCTCACTCACAAAAGTTTACAGTTTAAAAGTGCTCGCCCTAATTCTCACATTTGCAACTGCAGAAATTATTACACTCAGCACCGCATACACTTTGATTCCTGAAGCCACATTATCTAGTGCACTGCAGGCTTTGGAGGTAACAGCTAACATGGTACAGACAGGAACCCATTACAGTTTTTGTTCATGTTCGAGTGCCTGATCCTAAACAGGCATGTCCCCTTTGCTGAAACATCCCTTATCCCTCAGCAACCTGGATTGCGACCAGCAAGCCGAGGATGGGTTTCAAAACGACAAATAAGTGGAGCTATTTTTTGCAGATCATTCGGTCACATATAATACTGTAAACCACCGCCGCCTCCCAAAACAGATCTTGGAGTTGGCCCAATACCTCGCATTTACGGATCATATCGGAGCCCTTCTGAAAGACAGCTTCCTTAATGTTCAGAACAAAACAAAAACGCCATCAACGGCAAGAAAATAGCTCGCTCCGTTGCTGTATAACGCCTACACAAAACAAATCACAATTTAATTTAGACCAGGACACTGGGCGTTTTATCTACGCAGACGATCTTTGTGTTACATCCCGTTCGAAGCCATAGAAGCAATTAAAACTTACCTCAGCACGTAGCCGTCTCTATACTATGAGGGCAATCACCCCCGTGCCAATCTCTATAAGACCCAAATCTACTCGTTCCATCTCAGGAACGTTAACCGCGAAGCCAACCGACCCCTTAACATCAAATGGGCCCTTGGTCTCTTGTAGTCATCCTGTCTACCTTAGGCTGACCCTCCATCGTATCCTGTCATTCAAGTCATCCAAATTTTGTTCCCCGTAACAACATCATAAAGAAATTGAACAACCTCCGAAAGGAGAGCCAAACCACACACCCTAAGATGAACCATTTTGGCTCCGCGCCATTCTTCAGCAGAGTATGCGTGCCCCGCCTGGGAGAGATCAGCCCATCCTTAAACAACATGCAGTTTGATCACTGGATGCTTGAAACCCACCAACACAAGTAATTTGCACCTCCTTGCTGGCATTTCCTCTTCGGATTTCCGAAGGGAAGTTGCCAGCCTTGCTAGGATGTCCAAATATTGCTAAATGACGAGTGTCGCCTGATCCAGGGACGGCAAGCTTCTGCACAAAAGGCTGAAGTCACGAAAAGCTTCCTCAGCCATGTCCACTCCTTCACAACATCCAGAGAAGTGGCAAAACTCTAACACTGGAGCAACGACTGGGAGCAAACGCCCACCGATTGTCATGGTTATACTGTGACAACGGCTGAAAACCTCCCAACAGGTGCTACATCGACATGGGCTCAGTGGAAAACTATCAGCCGCTTGAGAACCAGGACTAGCCGATCACAGACCCGCCTTAATCAAAATATGGAGCTACAAAAGTGGTTCAGCTGCATTATTGTGGAGAGGTACAGTTGCATCACATCCTGTAGTTTCAGAGATGTCTACCTGCCTAGGTTCAAAAATGGCATTGACCCAGTAAACAAGACGGTATTGGGCCGATACCAGCTGATTATGGGTTTGTTGTGGCAGTACCATATACAGTTTAAATGGTACAAGACCAGAAGCGGGCTAATAATGCTGGCTCGATTGCGCCAAAACGGCTCCGTGTTGACGGTACAGACACCACATGTGCAGAGTCGGCATTGGTCCAGTGCTTGCCCTATTAAGTAGAAAACGGTTATGGTAACATCGTTCAGAGCCTGCATCGGACCAGTGCTGGTCTTTTTAAGGCAAACAATAACAGCAAGACGGCGCACAGCCTGAACTGGGCCGTTGAAGGTCCCGAAGATAAACCATGATGAAAAAAAAAACCGGTAAAAGGCCTGAATCAGGCCAGTTTTGGTCCCTTCATGGGATACCATAATGGCAAGACGGCACACAACCTGAACGTGGGAAAAGTGTTGGTCCTTTTACGGCAAACCATATGGCCGCCGTATTAAGTATCTGGACAAACTGACCATTTTGACACGATCCCAAATACATGTAGTACTAATCCAAATTGTTTAGTTGCGTTCCATAACCCTGAAAATATATGTATAGACACCAAGATTTAGATCCTTAGTGGCTTAAAGATGCAATACACGTATTCGGAGATTTAAGTTTAAAATGGCGGCCACGTTTCAAATACCAGATGGCCACAATACTGTATTTGGACAAACTAACCATTTGACACTATCCCAAATGGTACAGTTGCATTCTTTGACCCTGAATATGTATGTTTAGACACCAAAACTTTAATCCTAAGTGGCTTAGAAGATGAGATATTGGTAGATGCAGGTTTTAAATGGCCGCCATCTTTAAAATCCAAGATGGCCGCCATTATGTCATTGGATAAGTTGGTTGAATCAAAAATTGACTAGCTAAGGCATTGAGGAGCATGTATGGAGAATTTGGCGCTTTTGTCCGGAATGTCTACATCCATTCACTAAGCTGCCTGACTTCAACGTTACCTGAGAACATTAGCGCCTAGAGAATCAAGCATCATCCTTTAAATAGCATCAACCATTTACATAGGCCTTTCTACAATTCTTGCACAATGGAATCGATAGAAACAAGCTTTTTTTCACCTACATAATATCAGCACATTGGCAATTCCACGGTAACTCACGTTACATTTAGAAGGGGTCTTCCATCAACTTTGTACTGTTACTCAATAAAGTTGCAGATTTAGGACGGAATTTCTCATGAAGTTAAAGATATATAGTCCGTCATTTGTAATTTGTGCATTTTGTTCTTTTGAAGCAACAATAGTGTTCAAAATCTAATGAAGGATACTGAACAACTAACCTGATAAAGTTTCAGCTCAGCTTCAGCTGTATATTCCGAGAAAAAAACAGCATTCTAGGATCTCAATTTCAAACCAAAAGTTGCTGAATCATGTTTTGAATTGTTTTGAATTGCAGCTATACGCGATGTCGCGCACTGATCCGACGAATTATAGCAACCGCGCGCGCCTGTGCGTCGTGCCAATGCTAGACTGATGACAAGTCGTTAGACTATAGTGGTTTATGTCCGTCATCAGCGCCAGAATCCGCATACCACCGCCGTTCATGCAACATAACGCTACGACCATTCATGCCAAAATCATGTACTACCGCGCGGCATGGTCAGTCCGTGTCTAACGACTTGACTAACACGTTTTCAAGCGAATATTCATATATGCAGCCACTGAAATGCATATGCATGACGTTTCCATAGCGAGGGCCAATAGTAGCCCATCTGGCTTACGAAGGAACATCCATTATAAATATAGGGGTAATTATTACACGATCATTTTCAAGTTTCCATTTGATTTGGCAGTCCTATTTCTAAAATTACAGTAAAAAAAGAGTATAACATTGTAGATAATATTGGTACTTTTGCAACTGTCTTTGAATAAAAGGAGTAATATTTAAGTGATTATGGAAGTTGAAACTGCTACGAATAATTGTAAATCCCCTTCAAAAATGAAGTGCGCGCCGACTGTATAAACGTAAGCTCCTTTTGGCCCATGTGGTTTGTTGTAGTTTAACTAATCACCCTGCATAGTGACCGTTTTAGCCGATTTTCGGCTAACTTTGACATTTTTTTTGTTAAAAAAACAAGTTTTGCCTGAAATTTCATATTACCTTTATGTGGTTATAGATTGTTTAAAATGTAATTGGAATTTTAATTTAGGCAATATTATAACAACTGCATGTGATTTAAGGTGTTTTTAGTATATTTCGAGTAAGTCTGGGGAATCGGGCAGATTTTTGAAGTGCATTTAGCAGATTTAGTCATGACCTTACGGTCATCAGCTATCCGAAAAGGACTATAATGCACCTATACCTTTAAGGAAATATCTTTCCTTAAAGGTATAGGTGCATTATAGTCCTTCATCATGACCGCGCGCTTGGCAATCAACAACATTCAATAATCATCACACATATTAACGAGAGTTTGCTATTATGAGGTTGTATTATTCAAACTTTCTCAACTACATTACTAGTAATTCTACTGACGTCTATTATTCTAATATTCTGATGCACTCCTTCACCCAATCGTCTTCGCAGAGTGATTATGAATAGCATGCAAGCATTAGCAAAGCAAACTTTCAAAATAATAAAATTGTTTGTAGTCATTCTTTTAATTTGATACTTAGATGGCAAAGATGGCAAATGACAAAGGAAAAACAAAACGGTAACAAGATCAGGGGAAAATGTCACACTTTGGACCGGGACAAAATTACTCGCATGTCCCCGTCCCCCCCTCTCATCCCCAACGTTTTAATTTGAAAAAAATATGGCCACCAAAGAAATCTATGCAAAACAAACACATCTCAATTATAAGAGTTTGCTGCTCCTTTGAGCTTAAAAAGAAAACAATATCGTACAACATTTCAGTACTGGCTTGTAAATATGGCATAATGAAAAACAAAACCATGCTCAGACCATTTTAATCATTCCTATTTAAGTTCTATATCTACATAGACTAGTACTTATCTATTTCCGGCACTAGTTTCCATATTGACAAACCACGTACTAGTATTCGTTTTAAATATTACACGCGGGCAAATACCAAATCGAGCGCGATTATAATTGAACTTGAATTGACCTTATTTCAAAGTCCATACAGAGGAAAGGCAAGCCTGGCAATTTGTAGACAAAACAAAAGCGATCTGTGGATGTTTTGCTTTTGTTGAACCGCTCGGTTTCCATTACATTTTGTGACCAAATCCAAGAATTTTTTTTTAGGAATGTGTTAAAAAAATAACAAATATTATACAATATTCTTAATATCCGACCCACGGTGATCAGAAATGGCTTTTGCCCACAACACAAATATTCATATTTCATTTATATTCATACTACTTTTTATTTATATTATATATTTATGTAAGAAGTTGTAAAGTTAAGTACTTGTAAAATTTAGTTTCTTTCCACACATTTCTTTAGAATGAATCATTTGTAGTTCACCTCAACTTGCTAAAATACGTTCACATTCAGATTTAGATGCAAATTTATCATGTTTGCGGTTATTAGAATGGCATCCATGTCGATATAATCACATTTTTATCACCTGCTTTTCGAAATATCATTTCACACAATTAATGCACTATTAAGGCACAATTAAGGCACTATTAACAAGTAAAAAATATCTACATCTATACATCAATTGCAATTCTAAACCACGAAATATAATGATGAAAAAAGAGAGAAAAACTGAAGATTTGCAATTTAAATTCTAAATATACAAAAGTACCGAGTATATAATGTACATATATTAGGCACTTAATGTTACATTCTATTTGATAAAATAAGACAATTTAACCATTAGTTAATAGTACAAAAATACATTTCGTTTACAATTTTCACACACAATGTTCAATTTCCCCTGAATTAAAAAGATTATGGAAGGTGGTCATTTAAGGCGGTTAATTTTTAATTTTCCAAGTGTACCCTTTGAATAGAGTAAATGAGGGAATACATGTAATGGAACATAATTACAGTGATGATGCATGATTAAGAAAGTGGCAGTTTTCAGACATTGGAGGAATACACTACAGGTTGTTAAAATTCAGAAGGAAACTAAAGCGATCACGAAGGGAATTATAAATTCCTCAGAACGGATGATCAGTTTCTTTGGTCGCTACTCCCAGTGCCAGATCTGCTTTCCAAATTGAAAAGAATGTTGCATCCTAACACCACTTTTTTATCATATCTTCTCAATGATGGTTGGTCATTGCAAAATTGTTGAAAATACATGAATCTTTTCCAATGAAACGTTTCCAATTTTGTTAGGCATTACTTTGAAAATGTTCTTGACTATAAGCACATAACCGTTGGAGTGGCGTTTGGATACTACATTCCTTCCTTCGAATTAATTATCTCGGGTCGAATCGTACAGCTAGAATCCAATTGCTTAATTGACCCCAATTCAAAGGCCGGATATGACTTTACAGACTTGTAAAACTCTGGATTAGGGGATTCGATTGGTGAGCCGGGAACCGATTGTTGAGGTTGCAAATGGGCTCGACTGTCGGGATTGGGCCGGATAGACGAGCTGGGACCCGATTGCTGAGTTTGGTTATTATTGCCGGGCTTGGGTTTGACTGACGGGCTGTCTGGGGGAAGCGATTGCTGAGCTTGGGCTTTATTGCTGGGTTTGGGTTGGACTGACGAGCTGGGATCTAGTTGTTGAGCGCGATGCTGATCGATAGGCTTAGCTCCAACACCTGAAATACAACATTTAAAAATTAATGTCACACAACAATTTACTTGCGAACACGCAAACCGCTTTGCCAATGAAACAAATATTCCATTCTGATTTCACTGCTCATGGCCAATACCGGTACATGTACCGTGTAATATCACATTCCAAGGCCTCACCGTACTTGAGTTGGACACAATATTTAAAAGTAAAATCCACGACTACAAATGGTTTCACCCATACAGGGAGTGGTTCTATTTCCGCATTTTGCAAATTTCGTGTTTTTTCCCACAATGAATAATGGATATCAATAGAATTTAATACTGCAGCCATGATCTAAATTCTTAGTAAACATGAAATTATAAGCTAGTAAGTTAAAACTAGGACATGTTTGTACTTACCTGCTTGCCGATTGTAATATGATCCTGAAAAAAAAAAGTTTTACTTTAGTAAAATCAACTGAAACGAAACAAATTCTGATTCAATATTTTGTAAGTTTGAGCGTAATACGGGCTTTACACTAATATATTTCAAATTGATTACACTGAAATATTTGCTAGCCTGTGTTGTATGATGTTTTGGACACAAATTAAGTAAAAGACTTTACTCGGAAATCACAATTTTATACAGCCAGATTAATTTTCCACTTAATATTTTGACAAGATGCCTTATAAAGGATATCCCCCCCCCCCAAAAAAAGTCTCGAAGCCCCCTCTTTTCACTGCTTTAAAAGGGCGCAGTTTTTTTTCGGGATACCCTGTACTACAACACTTACGTCTGTATTATAGCTTTGTGTAAATATTTCTCAAGTACCAGTATTTGGAAGTATTAATGCACATACATTGTGGTCTGTTTTACCAGTGCACCTTTCTTCCCTATGAAGTTTACTTTGTTTAAATTTATTTTGCAATGCATGCAGGGCCTCAATGTAAACCAGTTTTAAGCGGTTAATAAATAAATAAATTAATGAATTAACATAGCTAATTAACTTAGTTTTTTGTACGAAAGAAAGATTTTTTGCAAGATGCCATATTTGGAAAATACACAAACGGAAAACTCCACATACTTAAAAAGTTTCACTAGTTTCACAGGGATATCTTTTGTTAAACCATGGCATTCTTTCTCTATGTGATATGTTTGGTTTAAATTCAGGAAGGAAGTTTTCCAATTCAATTCGGTTGTTGTTTTTTTCTCGAGAATTATCTCTAACAATAGTTTCTGAATTTTTATGCACACCTTGTCTCCAATGGCTGAGAACAAAATGAAAACAGACCGTTGCAAACTTGAATTTTAGAAATTTTAAATGACAGTATTAGTGCAATTCCGAGAAACCTGTTCGTTTAGTGGTCATGTTGATACGAAATGTCACGCTTTTTACAAATGTCTGAAATTAACAAATTTATCTTGAGATAGCACTGAGATTACACATTAAATTTCTGAAATACATGTTAGGGTTTGTAATGTTTTCAGCTTATTGCTTGGGGGAAAACTGGTGTAAAAAATAAATACACTTTAATACATCTGAAAAAGACTGTGGTGTCCACGTTACATGTCAACTCGTTTTCTTGAAAAACATTCAAATGCTCTGAAACTTTCTTTTGAAAAGCGACAATCCCATGTAACACAAATATTTTAGTTAAATGCACTTTACCTAATCTTAAAATGTGTTAAATCTTACAAGTTTATCCCAACTTATGGAAAGACCTAATTATATGACGTTGTATTCCAAAATGGCATCAAGCAGAAAATCCCCCAAGGAGAAAAACTTACGCAGGCTTATGTAATGCTGATCGACAAGGCCCAACGAGAGCCGTTTTCCGTTGGTTCCACCCTTCTTAATGTCAACCACATAATGGTCATGATCTGTCAACACAACTACATGCAAATCACACTTGAGCATTTTGGCTGTTCCTTTAACATCCTCTGCTTCCACACATGTGCCGTCTTTGGCCAGTTTGTCCAGGTATTCTTTGCGCTTATGCTTTGATGCTGGCAAGGATCCTGATATTGGATCATCAGGTTGCTTGAAAAGGAAACATAAAATCAATAAATCAAACAATAAACCGTGGCTAAAAACAGTGCACATACAACATAACGCATACCGTAAAAAAAACCTCTCTTTTATAGAAATGTGAGAAAAGTCAGATTGATTTTAAGTTTGTGTATTTCTCTCAGCAAGTGCTTTCTTAAAAAGAAAAAAAAAAAAAAAAAAAAAAAAAAATATTTTTTACATTAATATTTTTCTTGCAATGCATACTCAATTTGAAAGAGAAAGCAAACAAAAACCTTGGCCCATGCTGTGTTAAATGGATATATTTTTGAACAAATTCCAAATTATTTGCGACTAGACAATAATTGAGTTCTTGCCGGGTACACTGGTTCCCCGCCCCCCCCTATCAGAACCAAAAATGAAGGGTCCAGGAACCAGTCAAGTCACAGAGAAAGTGTCTGTGAAGGGGGGGGGGGGGGGGCTGTGTGCAAAAGCAACCCAAACCTACAAGCTTTTTCAGTGAGTTGCGGGTGCCTAAAATGTAAAAAATAGTTGTTTTCATTCATTTGATACACAATATGTACAAGTTTAAAGATCAAAAGGAGAAAAAACTTGTGTTGAAGAACACAGACAACTCATTTTTAAAACAAATTTGAGTAAAAAAAGGTTTTCAGTCCAATTCAAATGTGCATTTTCCTGTCAAAAAAATCAATGCAAATTCAAATTGTTTTAAACTGGCATATGTTTACAATTTATGTCTTCTGAAAAACGTTCTTCCATAATGTCCCCATTTCCAGCATGTAAAGGAAAGTTCAAGCATGTTGTCCACTCTTGTGATCCATGATCCACAATAGAAAACAGCCAACAGAGCACAAGGCAGACAAACACATTCTATTTCATTTCAATACTTACCAACTGGCGAAGAAATTCAACCAATTTTATCCGCAGATTTTTAGCACTGTTCTGTCCAAGAATACCCAACCATTCCAGTTGGTCTACCACCGCATGGAAGAAACAGTTGCCACCTCCCTGATTGTTTTGAATGTCCACGCGGCCAAAGACTTCAATGCATGTCTTGAGCCTCTTCAGTGAACCATCCATACTTTCCTTCACATTTCCTTTATTTTCTTGATGAGAACTCAGAAGAAGTGGTTGTGATTCTCCCTCATTCTCTGGATCATGCACTGAACAAATGAAAGACACTACCGTTAAAAATCACATGCATGTGATTACCTTGCCATTTTGCCATGGCTCATGATCTGGCTAAATATGAACCATCCTGGGCTTAGATTTGAGGCAGCTCTTACACCTGCACACTCACAGCATCCGAACTTGCCCCAAGTGTCGGCCAATATTTGCCCATGGACGGATGGCAGCAGATCACTTTAATTCACAACCCATTTGAAACAGTACAATATCTTGAGTGGTTTCAATACTTCTGTTGGTTCCTTGTGGTATATACATGTATATCACAGATTTTTTGAAAATTTTCTATTTTGTCTGAATGTTCACACATTCATATTGCTTTGATTTGAAAGAGAAAAAAAATGGCCAAAAAAAAAAAAAAAAAAAAAGGAGTCGTGTGACTAAAAAAAACGAATGCTGATTTGTGACATGTACACTAGTAAAAGATGCTCTTTAAAGGCCTTAGGCCAAAAAAAAAAAGTCTCCGGTTTCTGGTATGGAGCTTGCCCCAAAAGTGGTGCGGCGACGCGGCTTTTTTTTTTTTTTTTGTGGCTTCAAATGTCGGCTGATGACTGCAAATGGTGCCCGACTAAACTTAGTGCAAATATATGGGAGTCCAGAGAGGCCACATAAAGCTTATTCTCGATCATAACCCCATCTAAAAACACGTTAAAATTGTGCAGCAGCAGGATTCCAGTCAAACCAGTGAGTTTGGCGGTTTTGAAACATCATCTTGTATTGAAAAAAAAACCTTTTTCATTTTGCCGACGCGCATGGCTGCGGCGACGCGCGCGCATACCAGAAACCGGAGACTTTTTTTTTGGCCTTAACCATTGAAAAGAGATATCGATATTGTTTTATTTGCTCTGTGTGTGCAAGTACAGGCACCCCTTTGAAAGTTAAAAAAGGAAGAGTTAATTGGGGTGGACCAGGATGGACATTCAGACATATCACTGCCAACCACATATGACGCTCACACACATACACTGCGGGTATTTCATGCTATAACAGGTGCACTCACATCGTGTGTCCCATCCATTGCACTTTCAAAAGTGATAAAAAGCGCCCTCTCATTTTGCGCATGGATCCCACACAAAATAAAATTAAAAAACGCTGGTTGGACAAAAGTGGGCGACTTTGCAAAGTATCACTATTTGTAAGTGTCAGCCATTTTGGAATAAAATAGCTAACAACTCTGGAAAGTCATTCATTTTGGTTGGCAACGTTTGCCAATCAAGTGGCTAACAAGTACAGTTGGTCCCATTTAGAGAACTTTTGCATGCTTTACATAATTTCAGGACACCCAGCTTTAATAGCCAAAGAAAACACTGGATTCTTGTTGTTTTGAATAATTCATATTCATATACATTTATAAAGCCTTTCAGCTGAGCCGACTTAGACATTCTGGCCAAAGAAAGTGAGATAATACTCACCAGCAGAATCATCCCCACCAATAGACATGTTTGAAGGTAAGGCGTCAGATTTATCCGCTCCACCTAACATAGAATTAATAATTTTATGATTCATTATGAGGGATTTTATTTTACGTGTAGAAACTTTGCAAACCGTTATTCTGCCATCCCTGCATACAAAACACAATGGCACTGTGATAAGTGTTTGATAACACCATTGTTGCCTTGGTCGGATGTGCTCTCTTTACATGGCCTTCAGGACACCCAGCTTAGCCAAAGAGACAGTGTTGTGGTACTTGTACTCGTACTAGAATGTCAAAGTGCTAACATTGTGAGTAAATCTTATAGTGTGGCCTTTATTTACGGAGGTCCAGTAAATAAGCCACATTTATGGGGCTACATTTAATCATGTCCATGATTCAACCAAGCTCCACTAATGTACGTGGGAAAAATCTGACATGATCGTCTTTTTCTTCCAACATCTGCCAGTGAAAAGCATCACTACATGTATGCTCTCTTTGCCATCCTCAATTCAACATGATTTTTAAAGCATTGCATTTTGTACAAATCATTGCATTTTGGCACAACATGTTGGATTGCTACATTGGATCGTTCATTGTGGTTATGTACCCGTAGGTAACTGGCCATGTGCTAGCGGGCGGCGCGGTTTATGGTGGTACCGTTGCTGTGCACGCATGCACCAGTGATTTTTCCATGTAATATCCAGCTGGAAAAGGGTTCTGATCAGAGTTGGCCCAGGTGTTTCTACTGTAGAAACACCATTTACAACTGCTCTTGTCCTCCTTGATTTAAGTGCAGCTTTCGACACTGTGGACCACACCATACTGCTGTCTAGACTCCATGATATTGTTGGCCTGCGGGGTTTAGTGGTGCCAGTCTTATCTTGAGAGCAGGCAGCAGTATGTGCGTGTAGGTAACGCTACTTCTAATTCCGTCTCTGTCGATTTTTCTGTACCACAAGGTTCTGTTCTAGGCCCGCAATGGTTCACTTTGTACATTTATCCGCTGAGAGAAATCATCTTGCGCCACAAATTACATTATCATATGTATGCAGATGACACACAATTATATCTGACTTTTGAACCTTCACAACAACAAGCCGATTCTAGCATCTCTCAAATAGAGACTAGCATTTGTGAAATTCGCCAGTGTATGCAAGATAATTTCTTGAAGTTAAATGATGATAAAACAGAATTTATGATGATTGGCTCCCCACAATAACTTTCAAAAGTCAATATTCCCTTCATTAGTATAGGCGATTCTCATATCACTCCAGTTGGCCAAGCCCGTAATCTGGGTGTTATTTTTGATTCTTCACTGTCACACAAAAGTCTAATCTCCAATATTGTTCGTTCAGCTTCATTTCATATCTGCAACATCAGCAAAATCAGAAAATATCTCAACCGCAACTCAACTGAACAAATCATACATTCTTTTGTTACGTCGAGGCTAGACATGGGGAATTCCCTTTTGTTTGGTCTTCCGCAAGAACAACTTACCAGGCTCCAACATATTCAGAACACTGCTGCACGTGTGGTCACATTAACCAGAAAATCCTCCCACATCACCCCAATCCTGAAAAATCTACACTGGTTACCAGTCTCCTCTCGGATAATCTATAAAATGATGTTGTTGGTTTACAAAGCTCTAAATGGCAAAGCCCCCTCATACATCATGGACATGCTTTCCCCTTACAGACCCTCCCGCACACTCCGATCCAGTAACAAGCATCTACTACATGAGCCAAAATCACACCGTATTTGGGGAAACAGGTCATTCTCTGTAGCAGCACCTCGTCTGTGGAATCGGCTACCTATTCACATCAAAACCTCAGAAACCATCCAGTCCTTCAAAACAGCTCTCAAAACTCACTTCATGTCGTAAGCTTTCAATTAATCCCTTGCATTTATGTTTATTTTGTTTTTCTGCTCTTCCGTTGCTTACCTTAATTTGTTTAGTTTGTTTATTCATTCATATTGACTTTGTTTACCTATTTTTGCTGCCGTTTTGCTTGTATACAATTATGTATAGCGCCTTGAGCACCTCACGGTGGATATGTTTGCGCTTTATAAATGTCCAATATTATTATTATATTATTATTATTATATTATTGAACACTGGGCTCGAAGTGACTGGTGGCCAGTTAACATTTGGTGTGAGAGTACTATAATGCCCCCAAATGATAAATCTTGTACAATAGATCCAAACAATACAAAAAGTCACTCCACATGCATGGGTTTCATAACAGTGTGCAAAATGACGCATCCAGAAACTGACCTTAGTGTATTAATCAGAACACTTAACGCACAATGAGGAAACAACAAACTTGATTCTTGTTAATTGTTTTGAATAATTCATATTCATTTACATCTATAAAGTCTTTCAGCTGAGCTGACTTAGACATTCTGGCCAAAGAAAGTGAGATAATACTCACCAGCAGAATCATCTCCACCATTTGACATGTTTGAAGGTAAGGCGTCAGATTGATCCCCTCCACCTAACAAGGAATTTGTGATGTAATGATTCATTATGAAGAATTTTATATGACTTATAGAAACTTTGCAAACCGTTATTCTGTCATTCCCTGCATACAAAGCACAATGGCACTGTGATAAGTGTTTGATAACACCATTGTTGCCTTGGTCGGATGTGCTCTCTTTACATGGCCTTCAGGACACCCAGCTTAGCCAAAGAGACAGTGTTGTGGTACTTGTACTCGTACTAGAATGTCAAAGTGCTAACGTTGTGAGTAAATCTTATAGTGTGGCCTTTATTTACGGAGGTCCAGTAAATAAGCCACATTTATGGGGCTACATTTAATCATGTCCATGATTCAACCAAGCTCCACTAATGTACGTGGGAAAAATCTGACATGATCGTCTTTTTCTTCCAACATCTGCCAGTGAAATGCATCACTTATACTCTCTTCGCCATCCTCAAGGTAATCAACGTGATTTTTAAAGCATTGCATTTTGTACAATTAAAGCACTGCATTTTGGCACAACATGTTAGATTTTATACATTGGATCGTTCATTGTGGTTATGTACCCGTAGGTAACTGGCCATGTGCTAGCAGGTGGCACGGTTTATGGTGGTACCGTTGCATACCATCAGGCGCGGTTCTAGAACCAATATTTTGGGGGGCTAGCACGGTGGATCCAGAATTTTTTTCAGGGAGGCGTGCTGAAATGTTGACCGGTTATTTTTTCCAGACACTTAGGCCACCGAAAATCAATAGGGGGGTGGGGGGGGGGGGGGGGGGGCTCATGCCAAGGGCGGATCCAGAACTCAATTTTTTTGGGGGGCCAAAAAATATTTTGATCCCCCCAAAAAGTGGGTCAAAAAAATTACGGCGTGGGGTTCGGGGCCCGCTTAAGGGCCCCTAAAAAATGTTGGATTCTAGATGCTCTGTGGTGCGATCTGAGGCAATTTCTGACCACTTTAACCAATGTTTTTTGAGGAAAAGATGGTGGTGTACTCATTGCCTGCCTTTATTGCGATGTCACATAAAAAAAAAAATTGGTTTCGGGTTTTTTTTGGGGGGGGGGGGGGGCATGGCCCCCTTTGGCCCCCCCCCCCCTGGATCCGCCCTTGGCTCATGCCATATTTTCAATGGGGAGCGTCAATAAAATCCTAAAATCATTCACACTATATTAACTAATGTACCCTCGTCACGGCTATTTCTTCTTTAGGGGGAGACCGTTCGCATGTACATCACAATCCTTCTTTTTGCTAATGCAATTTTTTTTTGTACGGAATTTATTTTGGGGGGGCTAGACCAAATTTTGGGGGGGCTACAGCCCCCCCTAGCCCCCCCGTAGAACCGCGCCTGCATACCATCATGTGCTGTGCACGCATGCACCAGTGATTTTTCCATGTAATATCCAGCCGGAAAAGAGTTCCGATCAGTGTTGGCCCAGGTGTTTCTACTACCAGGTGTTTCTACTGTAGAAACACCATTAACGCCTGGTGAAAGAGATTAAAACTTCACTCAGGATAATTTTTACTTGCCGTTATCATTGACTTTTTCATTGACTTGTGACAAATCACATATTGTGGAAACATCTTTAAAAAAAAAAAATCTACTTTTTGTGGGACAAATCTTTACAAAATCGAAACTTTTGTTGGAAAAGTAAGAAAGTCAGTTTTCCGATTAAAATCAAAAAAGTTTCATCTCTGATACATGAATAATTCATACATGAATAATGGAATAACAGTGTGAGTATCCGGTCCTCACTGCGTGATAATGACCGGGTTTGGGGTGACCGCTGTGGTCCAGTAATAGCGGTCACCCCCACACCCGGTCATTATCACGCAGTGAAGACCGGATACTCACACTGTTATTCCCATTAATAAATACCTTTTTAACAAAATAAACAGTTAAAATGCTCCAAGTTTGGGACTATTTTGTCGGCGATATTTTGTGTTAATGTTCATGGGCCATATTTTAGCTTATGCGTGGTACCCTGTCTCTTCCATATGCATTGTTATACTACCCTAGCCGGCTGGGCCCAGCCTGTGCTGGACGCGACGACGTCTTCATCATTGCATAAAAACGTCCATGGTATGAACTTCTTCTCAGTGCCGTAGCGAAACAAACTACAACAATTTTGTTCATATTTTACCTGATGGAGGAAGCTGAAACTTCGGTTACATATTCCTTGTTTCCAGAATTACAAAGATGCTCGGTTTAGGAAAGGTAAATATGTCAGTGGGTGAAGTGTTTACAGAAAGTAGATCGCAGTTCCACACTTTCGTCGTAAACATCCTCAGTATACTGCTGTACGCGCCGCGTACGATGTCGTACGTTTGAAAACTTCCTTACGCGCGCGCACCCATAATACTGTTTTGCGATGCGCGCCTAAGTCTTCACGCGATGGTGGTTGAGCGCATGTGCAGTGCTGTATTGTTACAAGCTGCCGTAGGACTGTTGTAAATTTGGCCAATCATTGGCTTGCATGGGGCCAGATCAATGCTGGTTCAGGGGCCAGATTAATGCTGGTTCAGGGGCCATTTATTCGCTTGTTCTTTGAAGCCGGTCTTTATATCACCGTTAATACACCCCCACGTGATCGAGTCTCGACCAATCAGAAGCCATCAACTCTCCAAGGTATTTATTAATAATTCATACATGAATAATTCATACATGAATAATTCAAACATGAATAATTCATACATGAATAACTCATACATGAATAAAGTCTTCCAGTCTCGGCTGACTTATCAACTGGCCAAAGAAAGTGAGACAATACTCACCAACAGAATCACCTCCATCATTTGAAGGTGGCACATCAGATTCAACACCTTCACCTAAAATGTAAACAAAATATGACTTTATGATTAATTAACGATGGAATTACTACAGAAAATTTGCAGACTGTTACCCTGTCGTTCCCTGCATTTTATAAGACAATGGCATTGTGATAAGTGTTTAATTGATGTAACTGCGGATGTAGGAAATGGGAAATTTAAGCCTCGGCAGGATCATTTTATTCAGTGTGTGTGTCGGCCATTTTGGAGACCATAGCCAATGACTCAGGAACACCATTTGCCTGTTGCTAACGTTTGCCAACATCTGTGGCAATCAGTCCTTCACACTTGCACAAACGTTGAATGCTGCAACTGTAAACAAAACATTAGCATAATATGCATGTAGTTCACATAAGTGAATGCATATGATGGAGCTGCGTGTTTAATGTAGCTTTCAGGACAGCTCAGCCAAAGAAAATTGGATTCTTGCTGTTGAACAGGAAACTTCCTTCATGGATCTGATTGGTTAACAACATATCGTGCCCGGTGAAATCGCGTCCGGTGAAACCGCACACCTTTCCGAATGCAAAAAAATCAAACATGCTTGATTTCATCCGGTCGCCCGGTGTACGGTCAAATCAGTCCAAATTTTCAGCGTACACCTCTGTGCAATGATCCGGTTAACCTGTAAAATCAGAAAGGTTTGCGCCGGCCTTTAGACACTCTGGCCAAAGAAAGTGAGACAATACTTACTGGCAGATGGACCACCTTTACCATGCATCGCAACGGATTGACCACCTCCACCTAAAAAGTAATTAAACGGGATTTTATGACCAATGAGGGATTTTGTCTTACTAAAGAAAATTGCAGACTGTTTTTTGGTCATTTCCTTCATATTTATAAACACACTGGCATTGTGATACATGTAAGTTTTGTAGTTGATGTACGGCCACACTCTTTGGCTCTTTCTCATGACCTTTCTCCCCCCTAAAATGCTGCAATGGCTGCAAATTGAAATTGCTACTGAAGCATTTGCTGTGTACAGAGTCAACATAAATTAAGTGTACACAAATATTAAATCGTGTGTCAGTTATCCATACTTCGGCTAAATCCACATCGTACAACTCGTCAAATCGCTCAAGTCAGCCGTCTGACTAAAGTGTGGACTGTCAGTAATGCATTTCCACTAAATTTTGTATTTCTAACTCGGCTTTTATTATACATGTTATAAGTCGCCATTTCACTCAAGTTGTCGTGTTACTCTCGGTCCCCTTTCCATAAAAAGCATTACAAAATCCTTTGTGTAAGTCGGCATTCAACAAATCACGCATTGGCATCGACTTCCTGTACTGCGGTTGGCAAAGTGTCGGGTGAAAAGTGGTTTTGCATGCGCACGGCCCGTGATCGCTGCATGTATCGGTGTCAAAAGTGTCCTACTGCATACATCGCATACAAATGTATATGCATCATGAGCATAGCAATACCAGTACCCCCTCTAGGCTGTACGCATGCGCTCTGTCCATTTTGGGGGTCTTCTTATGAATGACTACTGCTGCAGTCAATGCGTGCGTGGTATATTACGGACCACGCACGCATTTAATTTGTTACTGTGCACCAGGGTGACTGTTTTTGCCGATTTTCGGCTAACTTTGACAGAATTGTTGTTAAAAAACGAGTTTGACAGAAAATTTGACAGAAAGGATTTTTTTGGGGCAGATTTCTGGCAGAATTCTTAGAAAAAAATGGTTATTTGACCCAAAAAACAGCAAATTTGAACAAAAAATATGGTATGTTTGTTTGAAAAAGCTTCAATCCTTTCAAACAAACCCTTAATTGCATAATGTGAAAGGTTGGCTGGTCTAGGTGCTGAGGTTCACTGGGAAACGGACTTCGTCGTGGCCGGATCCGCGTTCTGCCCGAAATAACGCAATAATTTCATAACTCTTTATGTGACTATAGATTGTTTATAATGTAATTTGAACTTTAATTAAGGTAATACTACCAATCTGCATGTGATTTTAAGTATATTCATGTGGTCTCCACTATCAATACCCCAAACGTGATGATACAATTCGAGGATTAATATGCTGGATTCAACTCAAGCATTAAGGCAATAATCCAGGGTAATTCAAAGCCAATTAGTGCAATGAATCATGTGTGCAAAAGACCATTCATGTAAGTCGGCAAAATGACGACTTACAGCAGATATCGGCATTCGCGTAAGTCGTCACAAATTCTCGAGTCCAGAGAGTGCCGGTTTGGCTGGAGTTTACTGTACTAGAAAGATAATGTTCAGGAGACAGTAAAATTCAATGTAAAATGCTCTTCCATTTACTCACCTTCTGAATCACTCCGTTTTGCCACTTTTTCCCCTGAAAAAAAATTGGAAAATTAAAGTTGTTGAATATGTCCAAATTATAGTAAATGCCAGCATGTTTGCACTTAGATGCAAACACGGTAGGCCTATAGATGCTGCAAATTAACAAGTAATATCCCAGATTAAAACATAAATGGAGTTGTAATACAATAGAATTGATCCTCGATCGCCTATTGAAGGTATGACCATGCTGACTATCGGCATGACTCTAAAGCCAGTACAGCTAATGCACAAATGTAACTCCCCTTGAACCAAGGGCGGATCCAGGGGGGGGCCAAAGGGGGCCATGGCCCCCCCCAAAACGAAACCAATTTTTTTTTTTTTATGTGACATCGCAATAAAGGCAGGCAATGAGTACACCACCATCTTTTCCTAAAAAAAAATGGTTAAAGTGGTCAGAAATTGCCTCAGATCGCATCACAGAGCATCTAGAATCCAAAAAATTTTCGGGGCCCTCACGGGCCCCGAACCCCACCCCGTAATTTTTTAGACCCACTTTTTTTGGGGGGACCAAACTTTTTTTTGGCCCCCCCAAAATTGTGTTCTGGATCCGCCCTTGCCTTGAACCACGACAAAAAGTAGGATCATGACAAACATGGGGCTGGTTAGCTCATTTGGTAGAGATGCATGATGTTTCAGGTAATGTAATGGGTACTGTACCGGTATGTAGAAAGATGAGTGGAGGGGGGACCATCAGCAGCTTTGAAAATCGGGTGCAGGCGAGGGGGGGGGGGGGGAGGACAGCAGTGAATCCAGGGTTTTCATTCTAGGGGGAAAGTTGGGGAGGGCTGGATGTTGAACCCCTCCCCCACCCCCCGTTTGCTATGCCGCTGGGGGGGGGGGGGGAAGATGGGGGCAGAATTACCGCCAATGGCCCACAACCTCCTGCTTATACATTTGTACTATGCAGATGTATCAACCATTTGAACACTGGGCTTGCAAGTGACTGGTGGCCACTTAACATATGGTGTGAGAGTACTGTAATGCCCTCAAATGATAAATCTTGTACAATAGATCCAAACAACACAAAAAGGCACTACATGCATGGGTGGCATAACAGTGTGCAAAATGGCGCATCCAGAAACTGACCTTAGTGTATTAATCAGAATTCTTAACGCACAATGAGGAAACAACAAACTTTGTAATGTGTCGTGCACCTGTCATGCATCAATTGTATGACGCATCACAGAGTCAGGGTACACTGGTAGACCCTGGGAGAGGTGCGTCTTTATGCAAAAGTGGGTCTTCCTGGAATCTATACAGACTGCCTGTGTCACAGTAGTGATACACAGAATGTTAATTTTTTACGTAAGCAACATTTTTGACACACCTTTTTCAGATTGTGATTCACACCCCATAAATTCTTGACACACATGGGAAAGCTGGTGTGTAGTACCGGTACCCCTGTAGTATCCCCCACAGTCATGAATCATCTTGCAGTGGGGGAGGATCTTATAATTGACTGGTGCATTATACATCTAGGCTATTTAACCGACAATTGGTCACGATGACATTCAGATATACCTTAACAATAAGAGCAGTTTGAAAACACAATCAGCAAAGGTGCCCTGAGTGGCACTTGTGAGCATGCAACACCCACACATGAACAGTTACACATAAAACATGGTTCGTGTTGTTTGAAGGTAGATAGTCAATGTAAGATCTCTGAGGTATTGAGAGGTTGACTAGGCCCGTAAACAGCTAGGGCATCGTAAAGAACACCCTGTCTCAGTCAGAACTGTTCAAAAACATTCTGTCTTACTTTTGGCAAATCTGTGACATTTTATGAGCTGAAATTTCAACAGCTGCATATTCGAAAGGTTTGCATGTTTGAGGTAGCACTTTGATGAAGGTTTACGGTAGCAACATGTGACAAATCTCTCTTTATGAGTTTGTGAGGTTCTGAAAATAACCGCGGCAAACTCAACAACCAGGGCAAGGGTTAGTGCTGTGACTGGAAGCAATGAAGCATGTGAAGGATGCAAGATGAGCAGGGGATGCTGGCTATCTTTGAGGCATGTTGATTTGCAAATTTGTAAATGCCCTATTTAAGCGTCTATAAGTTAACAATCCAGGTCTAGTTCCCGATGCAAAGCCACTGAACTACTTTGTCAACTTCCAATATCCGGGAGCAAATAAAATAAATCAACAATCTCAAAGCGCTGTACAATTATTCCCCCTGTTCATCAGGACACGACACAATGTGGCTGATATCAGTGCACATTCGGTCCTCTAGCCCGCCCTCACAGGTACCTATTTATACGCCTGGGTGGAGAGACGCAATTATAGTTACGTGTCTTGCCCAAGGGCACAAAAACCATGTTCCTGGGAGGGTTTGAACCCACGTACCATCGTACACGAGTCAAACTCCGTAACCACTGGAGTAGTAAGGGAGGCGGGGGTGCTGGACTTTGTCATAGGTCTGTGGGTAGTACAGGGCCATTAATGAGAAGTCAGGGTACCAGACTTTGTCATAGGTCTGTGGGTAGTACAGGGCCAATGGGAAATCCCCCGATCTCAAGAAAAAAAAAAATAAAAAAAATAAATCTAACGGAGAGAGAGTGAGAGAAAGAAAAATCTGTCGTCGCTAAAATGAGGGGAGTCTAATTATTTATAAATCTAAAAGTCTAACCTCAAAAAAAATGAAGAAAAAATATTATATTTCCTATAATAAATGGAGGGTAATATGTTTAGACCGACCGTCAAAGGATATTCTAAATGGAACAAAGCCACGCTGCGTGATTACGTACAGCGGTATAATATACCGCACAATGAAAATGTTTCTCTTACTCGTAAAGTTTACATCGAGGGGATAAAACATTATGAAAGTAAATTTAAAAACTTGAGGAAAAAGACACTACATGAGCTCAAACAGATTGTAGACGAACACAATCTAGAATACGTACCGACGGGTTATAAAGGACGAGTTTTGAAAAAAGATTTAATCTCAACGATTAAAACATACAGACAACCCGAATACTTTACAGAGTCAGCTTTTAGAGAAACGAGAAGGTTTAGAAATTACTACAGAAACTGGGAATTAAACCCCAGACTTTATAACCATGATTTAATCAAGTTTTTTGATTCGCACAAGGAACAAATAGTCAATAAAATCAAGTTAGAATTGAGAGAGCTGAGAGGTTTAAAAATGGAGCTCACAATCAAAATAAAATACGAAAAAACCAAACCGGATGGTACGATCGAAACGATCGAAGCTATTCATTATAGCAAGCAAAAAGCCGTTTTAAATCAAAGTCAAATAAAACAGGCTTTAAAAGAAGAGATCGAAGAGCTATTCAAAAAGGATGAAAGGTATACGAATCAAGGATCGGGTTGGGTTTTAAAAAAGATAATGGCGTTATACATCAACATCAACAGATATAATCCAGCGAGAGGTAGTTCCTACATAGACCTACCCGAATATCTTAAAATTAAGAAGGCGATGATCAACATCAAAAACAAAGACGATGAGTGTTTGAGATGGTGTTTGAGAGCTGCTCTTGAGTTGTATACGGATAAAGTAAAAAATCAAATAAGAAATAATCCTAATTATAAAATTCATAAAGAAGAACCTGTTGTATACACCAAAGACGACGGACTCAGTTTTAAAGGCGTTGACTTTCCGACACCGGTCGATCAGATACCCAAGATAGAAAGACAAAATAATTTATCGATAAACGTATACGGTTATGAGGGTGAGATATATCCATTATACGTGTCTAAAAACTACAAGGGGAAAGAGATCGATCTGCTTTTGATTTCTAAAGGTGACAAGCATCACTATTGTTGGATAAAAGATTTTACGAGGTTGATATACGACGTTACGAAACATAAATGTAAGAAATATTTTTGTCGAAGATGTCTTTGTCATTTTACCAATCAAAACAAATTAGACAAACATATCGCCGATTGTAAGGGTATAGATACACATCCATCAAAGATTGTATTTCCTCTGGGTAAACCAAAATACATAGACGGGCAACCAAGTGAAGAGAGAGACGTACCGATATTAGAATTTAAAAACTATAGGCACAAACAAAAAGCACCATTTGTCATTTATGCCGACTTTGAATCCATATTACAAACAACAACATCCACAGATAAAGAGACAAACACAAAAAAGATTAACGTTCACAAAGCTAGCGGTTATTCGCTAGTTGTCGTCCGATGTGACGGTAAAAATGTATATCAAGAGACTTATAGAGGCAAAGACGCTTCAACTAGATTTATAACGACGCTGTTACAATTACAAAGCTATATTAATTGTCTATTTGAAAAACCCCAAACCATGAAATTTAACGAGCGAGCTAAAGACCATCACGATAAAACAAACACGTGTTGGATTTGCGAGAAAGCAATTTATCCCAATTACTCGAGCAACTGTCAGTGCCAGAAACCCAGGGAACCCAAGACGATAAAACAAATAAAAGAATATCAATGCAAAAACAGTAAGGGATTTATCGAGTCTAAATGTCTTGACTGCCAAAAGAGAATCAATAAATTTAGAAAGGTGAGAGATCACTGCCACGTCACTGGTAAATATAGGGGTGCTGCACACGCTTATTGTAACCTCAAACTACAAATTAAACCCGGTTGTACACCGATACCAGTCTTTTTTCACAATTTACAAAATTACGACGCACATTTAATCATGCAGGGAATGACAGAATACGATAGCCAAACAGAAATACAAGTGATCGCTAAAAATTCAGAAAAGTATATTTCGTTTTCGATAGGAAATCTACGATTTTTAGACTCGTTTAGTTTTATGGCATCATCGTTGGATAAATTAGTGAAAGCTTGCCCAAAAGAGTCGTTTCAGCTACTCAAAAAGCATTTTAAACATTCTGACTTGCTATTACAAAAAGGAATTTATCCCTACGAATATATGAACTCGTTTGATAAGTTTCAAGAGGCCAGCCTACCACCCATCGGCAAGTTTTACAGCAGACTAAAAGACGAGAATATATCGCAACAAGACTACGACAGAGCTCAACGCGTGTGGAACGAGTTTAATATACAAAATCTAGGAGAATATCACGACTTGTACGTGACGACCGATACGTTATTACTTGCAGGCGTATTTGAAAACTTTAGAAGAACGTGTATTACAAACTATGGGTTAGATCCAGCCAATTATTTTACCGCACCCGGATTGTCGTGGGATGCTCTATTAAAACACTCGGAAGTTAAACTCGAACTATTGCAAGACGTAGACAAACATTTATTTTTTGAAAAAGCAAAACGAGGAGGCATATCGAGCGTGGGTGGAATGAGACATCACAAAGCAAATAATCAATATCTCGATGACTACGATTCAAACAAACCCTCGAGTTATATCGCTTATCTGGATGCCAACAATCTGTACGGTTGGGCTATGAGTCAATATCTACCGTACAGCGATTTTAAATGGACACCCTCAAAACCGTTTACCGAAGAAAGAATATTAACGCTGAAGAAAACGTCCAACACCGGTTACTTTTTTGAAGTAGACCTCGATTACCCGTACGATCTACACACCAAACATAACGATTATCCCCTAGCACCCGAAAACATCGTCGTACCCCAAGCTTGGATGTCTGATTATCAAAATGACTTATTGGATACCGAACCTAGTAGCGACGTACAAAAATTAACGTGTACGCTTAATCCAAAACAAAAATACGTGTTGCACTACGTTACGTTGCAGTCATACCTCAATCTAGGTTTGAAACTAAAAAAGGTACATCGCGTGTTAAAATTTAAACAAGCGCCTTGGATGAAATCTTACATCGATAAAAACACGCAACTCCGAACCAAAGCAACCTCTGATTTTGAGAAAGACTTTTTTAAACTGATGAATAACAGCGTGTTTGGTAAGACGATGGAAAACGTTAGAAATCGAATAGACGGTTACCTACTGAGAGACAATAACGAGAGCGATCAAGAAAAATACAAAAAAATAATTCAAAAACCGAGCTATAAAACAACAACGCCGTTTCCAGAATGTGACCTGTCGTTTGTCGAAACATATAAAACGACAACCGTGTTAAACAAACCCATTTACTGCGGAGTGAGCATCTTAGATCTCTCAAAGACGCTGATGTACGATTTTTATTACAACCGATTGAAAGACAAGTACGGAGATCAAATCAGGTTGATGTATACGGATACGGACAGTCTGTTGATTGTCGTTTACACGGATGACATATACAAAGACATGCGATCTCACGGGCAACACTACGACTTTTCAAATTACAATCTGGATCATCCTTTGTACGATCCAACCAATAAGAAAGTGATTGGTAAATTTAAAGACGAATTTGGAGGTAAGGTCATTCAAGAAGCCGTTTGCATAAGACCTAAGATGTACTCGATTTTAGCGGATGACAACAACATCACTCTTAAAAAAGCCAAGGGGGTCACAAAATCGGTCACTGACAAAAAATTAAAACACCGGCACTACTACGACTGCATCTTTAAAAATAAATCTAAAACA